GACGGCGCGTTCCCGGGGCCGGATATCCACTGCGTTACCAACGACAATCTCATCATCAATGTGCACAACAGCTTGGACGAGCCTTTCCTCCTCTCTTGGTAAAACCTAAATCTCTGCTTTCTTTCTTCGCGCACTCACTCTTGCTTCTTCCTCTGCGGAATTTTCTCTGCTTGCTTTCTCGTGAACTTTCCCTATCGGGAAAGCAGGGAGGAAAAAAAGAGATCCCTGACCGTTTTTCTCTCATCGGGAGTCCCCAAATCTGATACTTGAATTATTGGAGAGTTGACAATCTCGAGGAAAAGTGCTCAGATCTGGAATTGTTTTAGGCTTTTAAATAGTTAAAACCTTCCCACATTCGCCGCTGGTTTTTCTTCCCAATCTTGCCGCCATGGCAGCCGCAGCTCGCCAGCTCCAGTGTCAAATTGAACTCTCAGTTCACAACTTGCCTCCATCCATTGATGTCACTTTCTCAGAAATTAATTAAAAAGTAGGGGGAAAAGTGATTGGGAATGTTTGCTTGTCGTTTTCTTAATTACTCAATTAAATCACAGTAATTTGAGTGATCGATGTTGAACCCAATCTCCCCATATCCAGATCTTGTCTAACAATCTAGATTAGTAATTAACTGCATTTACTAGTAAATTGTCAGTCCTAAGCTGGTGATATGATAATTATTTTCTTAAACACAACTTAGTTGTTGCTAATACAGTAAAATAACGACTTTCCATTTTTCCTGAGTCGCACTCAATTACTTAATCCGTCGGGCAATCTTTCTTTTCAGTCTTTTTCCCGGATTTCTAAACAGCGCCGTAATTAGTTGGGAGTTTCTTCGTCCAGATCTATTTCTAGCTGTCTTCCATTTTCAGCACACTTTCGCCGGCCAGCTCATCTTTGCAGCTGGAAAGAAAACCCGAATATGCGCGTTGAAAAGTGGGAAACAAAACTCCCAATATTCATTACTATTTATGTTTTTTTTCTCCTTCTTTTCATTCCACCGCCATTAATCAAGGCGGGGAATTAATTGATAACCAAAACGCCCACTTCCAATTTATTAGTGAAGTTTCTGTATTGGGTTGGGGACAACAGAATCAGAATACAGATCACTGATTTGGGTGCTTGGTTTAATTTAGGAATGGTATGCAACAGAGGAGAAATTCATTCGTCGACGGTGTTTACGGCACCACGTGTCCGATCCCTCCGGGGAAGAACTACACCTACATTCTCCAAGCTAAGGATCAGATTGGCAGCTTCTACTACTTCCCTTCCCTCAACTTCCACAAGGCCGCCGGTGGGTTCGGAGGGATCAGGATCCTCAGCCGTCCCGGTATTCCGGTGCCGTTCGCTGACCCTGCCGGCGACTACACCATTCTCATCGGAGATTGGTACAAGTCCAATCACACGGTAAATTCTTTATTAATGATGTTTGTCATTACTCATTACTCATTTTTGTTTTCCTTCTGTGGGTAGCAATGCTAGCTTACTCTTTGACAGCTGTGTTGGCTTGTTGTGCCTTCGAAAGTGTTTCGCTTTCGCATTGTGGGAAGGACAGTAGTTGTGTCATTTTCTCAGGCCGTGTATTTTGGCCGGATTTCATGTTTGCTTTGCTTCTCCAGTTCTCCCCTTGACCTTTGGCCATCGTCTCCAAACGTCGATCCTACACTCTTGTCTTGTATGATGTCTCGTAGTGCTTGATTGTCTATTTGATTTGTTTTCCTTTGTCGACATATTTTTTCGTTGGTTGTTGACCTCAAGGTTCGAATCTAAGTGTGATATCTGTTTTCATCCCACATTATTATTACTATGTCAAATCCTTGGAGTTCATTGGTGGACATTGAATAACATTGAAATAGAAGAAAATTCAGGCTAATTTTATGATAAAATTGATATAGAATATTTTTATTTTGCAGGACTTGAGAGCCCAATTGGATGGTGGCCACAAGCTGCCTCTAGCTGATGGCATCCTCATCAATGGTCGTTCATCTGGCTACGCACTCACGGTTGAGCAAGGTAAGAAATGGAAACGGGTAGGGGGGGAAAATCTCTCATTTTTCTTTGCCTTTTTTAATGTTGCCAGAATTTCATCAAAAAGTGTTAGAAGTGAAGCTAAGTGAGACCATTGCTTGTTTCTCTTTTATCAGGCAAGACATACAGGCTCAGGATTTCCAACGTTGGGCTACAGAATTCGGTCAACTTCCGCATCCAAAACCACAAGATGAAGCTGGTCGAAGTGGAAGGAACGCACACTCTCCAGACAACTTACTCTTCTCTCGACGTCCACCTCGGTCAATCTTACTCCGTTCTGTTCACCGCCGACCAGCCAGGGCAAGACTATTACATCGTGGTGTCTTCTCGCTGGACAGCTCCGATCCTCACCACTACCGGTGTTCTTCATTACAGCAACTCCGCTGGCCCGGTTTCTGGTCCACCTCCCGGCGGCCCAACCAATCAGATCGACTGGTCCCTCAATCAAGCCCGCTCCATCAGGTAGTGCAGTGGTCCAAGTAGATTTGGTACCAAATCCTTCTCACTTAATAAACCATCTTGAAATTGAGGCTTCAACGGTAACAATTGGATTGGATCCATGGATTTGTAGATTGGATTAGTGTATCTATGGATCAAGTGAATTGGATCAAATGGATTGATCCATGAATCCAAATAACATTCAAGCCTTGCACCAATATGTAAATTTTGAAAAGTTTGGGGTACTAAAATGGCATGATAAAAAATGTTAGGTACCAAAATATAATTTTCTAATGATATTTTCATATAATAAATTAAATATCGGATACCAAAATGCAAAATATGAAAGTATAGGTATCAAATTGTAATTTTGTCATTTGGATCCGTGGATCAATCTACGAATCCTCCCATCCAATTGAATTTGGATCAAATGGATTGGATTAATTAGATATTTTAGTGTATGGATTGGTGAATTGGATTGAAAATGGTAAAAAAGTTTGCAATCCGGATCAGCTTACTGATCATGCAATCACCGGCGGTGGACAAACTTATTGAAGAATTTTGTTTGTGTCATTGGTTTTTGCAGGTCTAATCTGACGGCAAGTGGACCGAGGCCGAACCCACAGGGCTCGTACCACTACGGTATGATCAACTTGACGAGGACCATCGTTCTGGCCAACTCAGCAGGCCAAGTGAACGGCAAACAGAGATATGCTGTCAACAGTGTCTCGTTTGTTCCAGCCGACACTCCTTTGAAGCTTGCAGACTACTTCAAAATCCAGGGCGTGTTCAAGGAGAACAGCATCTCCTCTAATCCCACCGGTGGCGGAGTCTACCTCGACACCTCAGTTCTGACCACGGACTACAGAACATTCATCGAGATCGTGTTCCAGAACGACGAGGATATCGTGCAGAGTTGGCATCTCGATGGTTACAGCTTCTGGGTCGTTGGGTAAGCCCTCATTTGATCCTCTGCTCTCATAGCCTAGTAGTCTAATTGTTAAGTTTCATTGTTTCTCCTTAGCTTGGGTTTGGTTCTAACCATGTGGGCGAACTTAATGCTGTGCAGTTTAGATGGCGGGAAGTGGACGACTGCAAGCAGGAACCAGTACAATCTGAGGGATGCAGTTTCGAGATCCACCACCCATGTAACTTTCTCAACTTAACGTTTCAAGCTATTTAGTTACACAGTTTCCATGATTGAAATCAAAATGTTTTTCGATAGAGTCGGTCAGTCGGATTAGATACCCTGAAAGACTGACCATATCGTCAAATGTGTCTTTGATTCGATTCGAGCTGCCATGGTCGACATTTATTCTTAATGTTTTTGACGGATTGTTTGACCGACGGTTGAATTTCGCAGGTGTATCCCAACTCATGGACTGCAATCTACATTGCTCTGGACAATGTGGGAATGTGGAACTTGAGGACAGAGTACTGGGCGAGACAGTACCTGGGCCAGCAGTTCTATTTGAGGGTTTTCACGACGTCGACTTCGCTCAGGGACGAGTACCCAATCCCCAAGAATGCACTTCTTTGCGGCAGAGCTGCCGGCCGGCGCACACGGCCGATGTAAAAAGGGGGAAACACGGCCGAGAGGTTATATGGTAATTTATTGTTGCGGTGAACGTTGAGATTTGAGGTGGGTTCGGGATTGGTTACAGAAAAGGAGGATGAGGAGAAGATTGATTTGAGTAATGCGTAGGGAATGTTTGATTTAGGGGTAAATTATGGAATTGCGGAACTCGACTGTTTGTACCATTTGAGAAATTGATATAACGAGACCTCAGCTCGAGGTCACATTGGTGAATTTTTTTTTTTTTAACCTTCTGTTATGGCCTGTGGAAGGATACATGATTCTTTTTAGGCTTGTAAAACTTTGTGTTGATACTTGATAATCTTATCTGAAGCTGTTACTTCGCTGGTTGTTTTGGTTTTATATATTTATTGGTTAAATACACTTGTATATCCAAAAGTTTTACGGTTGTGCCAATAATATCTAAATTTCCCGAAATACCACTTATATCCAATTCCTTCACATTCTTTAACGGTGTTTTTGGATATACAAGTGTATTTAACCAAAAATATATTGGGAATGGATAGATTTGGCAAAGAACAACTTTAAAACATGGATATAAGTGGTATTTAAGGAAATTTGGATATTATTGGCACAACCGTGAAAGTTCCATATTTATTTATTTTTATTTATAGTTTCTAGGTAAATTACATAGTTGGTCATTGTGATTATTAAAAAAACGTTCATTTTTTGTCACTAAAAAGATTTAATTCCATTCGTGGCCACTAAAATTAGTTAAACATTTCAAGTTTGGTCACTTTCCGTTCAATTCCGTCAACTTTTGCTTACATGACAGTCAACTATTATAGGTGACCGTTAAATGTGTGACAGGAAACTTTAAAAATAATTAAATAAATAAAATTTAATTTTTACATTTTTCACCTCATTTCTAATTATTAAAAAATTAATTTTTTATAACCCAACAAACCCAAGCGGTCCTCCCCGTATTTCCCCACAGACGCCACTCAATCTCTCTTCTCGCCGCCGCGTCCACTAGCCGGTGAAGAGCGAGCTCCCTCCAATTCACCTCTCTCTCTCTCTCTCTCTCTCTCTCTCTCTCTTCTTAGCTCGCAGTCGTCGTTCACTATTTTGCTGACAAGACCGCCGCTAGAGAAGGTGTGGAGCAGAGGCCAATATCGATGACGGAGTCGGTGAGCGCGCCTGAAGTGGTGACGAGTGACGACGATGAAGCGGTGAGAGCGCCTGAAATGATGGTGGTGGCAGACGAGCTTCCTTTTCTCCATTTCTCGAAGCGTGCTTCCTTGACATCCTGTACTATCTCGCTGATGTTCGCGCAGGTGACCGTCCCTGGGCTAGCTAGGCTCGTCCTCCCTATAAGCTTGCTCTAGCTCCGAAACTCCTTCATCCCCTGCCGCAAATCGTGAGAGATCCGCTTCATGGCGACTTCAATCTTTGAACTGGGGAGGATTCCTCTGTATACTTTCCCGAACCCGCGCGGCCGGAGAACCTCCTTCTCCTTGAAACCGTGGATCGCTCTGTATAGATCCTTGTAATAGAGATGTTGCCGGTTATATTCCCTCTCGCAATCTTCTGTCAGCTCTCTGTACCTCCTCAATCGGACTAGGTAACTCCAACAGCGATTGCAACGAGAGAGAGAGAGATAAAATTACCAGGAAGACCTTCGGCACGGTGTAATTTTTTGTCGCCTTGCTCGGCTAGGGAGAGACGGGGAGAAGGCGGAGATCCAGGCATCCAGTGGCGGGGGTTCTTGTTCCCTGTTTCGCCGAAGCCCCACTATTATGGACTGCGCACTATAGGACGAGAGGGAGTGTAACACTCCGACCTTTGGGTTAGGTTCGACCTTAATACGTGATCGGTTGGGTTGACGGTTAAGTACTAAGAGTTACAACCGTGAATTAAGATTATTATTATTATTATTATTATTATTATTATCAATTAAAAAAAATACATTTGCTCGGTCGGGCCGAGCGGCCCACTCCACCAATTATTCCCCACTCCCCCAACATAAACCAAACTTCCCCTTTCCCAAATTAGTTCCCCAGCGAAGCAACTCCTCTCCCCAGCGAGCAACCCCCGCCGCCAGCACTCTCCCTAGCGAGACCGAGAAGAAAAAAGAAGAAGAGGGGGCGTCGGTCCTTTCCCCCCACCACCGCCACCTTGAGCCGACCCCGGTCCCAATTCCCCCGACCCATCTGATCCCTATAGTATTTCTAGGTAAGGATTGCTAATCCTTTCACGATATTCAAACCCGACTCATTGATAGTCTAATCCGAAACTTGTAATTTTGTACTATAGCGTTTGCGGTGAGATTTTAGGGTTTGATCATCGATCAACGAGGATATCAACGTCCCGGGTCATCCAATCGAGTCCTATGCACGTTCAAGAGGTAAGGGAACTCGATCCCTTTGAGTTAGATCGATCGATTTGGTGATTTTTCGTGAGAATACAATTCTGGGTTTTGGCAACAGGCTTTATTGGCTTTTAGTGACAGATTTTGGATGTCACTAAAGCTGCTGGGAATTTGCAAAATTGTATTTATGGATGCTTCAATTGTTTTGAGCATCTGTGGGTGTATATTTCTAGATTTAACAATTTTATAAATTGAGCGGGGTCTAGGTGATGGCTTTGATTTAATTTGGGGATATTTGAAAATGTATTACTATTTTTCAAAATTGGTCGAATGTTCATTTTAATTAAATAAAAATCTTGCCGATAGATTTTTGGGGGTTTGATAATTTTTCTTGGTATGTGTACTCACGATTGACATGGGAAAATTATTATTCATTTTTAAGAAGGTTCAAGTTAGATGAAAAATTTATACAAGACAAAAATAATTAGGAAAAATCGTCGGTTTTAAAGAGATTATTTCTAGAAAAAATTTAAAAGGGGTTGAGGGACCTTCGTAGCGAGGCTCGAGGGCTGGATTTTTGAGGAGAGGATGTTCTACTGATTCAAAAGAGGTTTTAAATCGAGAAAAGTCGTCTAAGAAAATGAATTCTTATTAATAGGTTTCCCCGAGATAATCCGGCTAAGGAGGGGTTTCTTCGAGGAAGGAATCGAGGAGTCATCTTTTCGAGGTGAGTGTAAAGGGGGTAAAATCTCTGTCGTAGGTCTTTTAGTTTATGCTTTTCGTTCAAGTTATTAATTAGTTAATTTTTGAGTTATGCGCGATATGTATGTGAGGCATCCCACCGCCTATAAGGGTGGAAGCACGCGTAGTGCTATGTATGAATGTATGGATGCATGATTGTAATAGTTGGTTAGTGGTAAGATGAACCCCCGGGCGGTTGGGCCACTACTGGACGGCGAGACGTAATGCAGTAGTTGACCGGGCATGGACTGGACGGCGAGACGTAATGCAGTGCCATTGTCAAGTTTGGGTATGCAACCGGACGGCGAGACGTAACGCGGTTGGCATACTAGGGTAGGGAGACCGAACAACGAGACGTAATGCGGTGGTCCCTAGGGAATGGGTTAGGATGATTACTTGTTTTTAAGTAATCACATGGCAACCTCTTTATATACCATTTGATTAACTATTTTTTCTTCTTTTTTAATCTTACGGTCAAAATTCTTTTAGGGTAATTTTGAAAATGAAAATATAAACACACCTGAATATTATATATAATCTACCCAAACCCTAGTTCTACCCTCCCTCTAGCCAAACCCGCCGTAGCCGCCTCCACCACTTCCGTCGCACAAATCCCGCCGGCCGCCTACACCAGCCCCGTCGCACAAATCCAGCCGGTGACCCTCGGCCATCGCAGCGGCCTCCCACCCCTCCGATCAGGTACCCGACCTCCCGCTGCTCTCTCTCTCTCTCTCTCTTATTTCTCCCGCTACTCGTCTCTCTCTCTCTCTCTCTCTCTCTCTCCTGCTGCTCTCTCCTTCCCTCTCTATCTCTTTATCCATTTGTCTACGAATAGATGTGGAAATTACCATCTGGTAATTTATAATGGTATTAATTAATGAAATGGTATACTTTGTTTAGGTATTAGTTTACTGTTTTGTTGTATGAAAATGGTATAGTGTGTTTGTCATAATGGTATTGATTTAATTCTGCAATGATACTGTTTTGATTTCACAATAGTAGTTGTATTGATTGTATTGGTAGTTTTAGTTTAATGGTATTAATTTATTTGTGCAATGGTATTGATTTGATTTCACAGTTGTAGTGGTATTGGTTGTTTTGGTATTTATTTGAATTTTGTAATGGTATAGATTCTTTATATTGGTAGTTTTCGTGTAATGTTATAGATTTATCTCTGCAATGGTATTGATGTTTTTCAAAGTGGTAGTGGTTGTCTAATGGATTGGTAGTGATTTCGTGTTTTTTCTTTTGCAGAAAGATTGAGAAAAATATGGAAATGAGATCTGGCTGGAGATTACGGAAGTGAGAGAAAGAGAGATAATTGTAATTAATTAATTTTTGTAACTACCTAAAATGTAATTTATTAAAAAAATTAATTAATATAATTTATTTTTCCATACCCAATTTACCCTTAGTAACCACGGTGATTACTACAAAAGTAGTAATCACCATAATCGCTCCCTGGTCCCTAGTGTTGGTGTCTATGGCTTCAGAATATAAGTAACGAAATTCTAAAGATAAGATAGGAGTGGAGATCTCTTATAGACGGTTTGATAACAAAGTATAAAAGATGAAAGCGAGAACGACTTTTGTCTAAGTCAAGACTCAAGAACCCTAATAACGTGTCTAGTAAGGCGTTTCTTAGGGTGAAGACCTTAGGAAGTAACGACGAGACTGACCCCTTCTCACTCACCAGGTGCAGAGAGGGGTAGAGGACGCATCCATCAAGAGGAGGTTACCCGAGGAGAGCAGCCGGGACAAACCTGAAGATGTCAACTGGATCTGGGTAACGAGATGGGACATCCCATTATATCTGTCTTTAGTTTCATGTCTGAATGAGTATACTGGGAAACTCAAGGATTGTGTTTTATGTTTTGTTGCTCTGGATTGAGGTCGCCCAAGTGTTTAGGGCATTTCACTTGAGAATCTTAAACATTGTTGTTGTTGATTTTTTGTTTTGATTTGTAAACCTGTTTTGGGTTGCTCCGGAATAACCGGTTTGTGGTTTGAGTTATGGTTTGGTTTTGAAAAAGGATCGGGTCGTTTCAGGGAGTCAATAAATTATTTATATTTTTTATAAGGAATAAATTATTTATAATTTTATTCCTCTGAATGAGGTGGAAAATATAAAAATTAAATTTTATTATTTTAAAATTGTCATGTCACACATTTAACGGTTAACTATAATAGTTGACTGCCACGTAAGCTAAAGTTAACGGAGTTGGACGGAGAGTGACCAAACTTGAAATATTTAACTAATTTTAGTGACCACGAATGGAATTAAATATTTGTAGTGACCATATATGAACGTTTATGGTAATCACTATGACCAACTATGCAATTTACCCCTATAGTTTCTACTTCTTTTCAGTGTGAGTGTGTGATAGAGTTCAACCATAAAAAGGTTATGTCATTACATTTGTTGTAAATATGTTTATTTGTGTGAACTAATTATGTGCAAATGAACATGGAATGTTGGCGAATTCTTCTTGTAGTGCTTGCCCTACACCTAGAAAAGAAGATAAGGTCATGTGTTAATGGCATGCACATATGTTACATAAACAATTTTCATGGGCTCATGCCCCCACAAGTCGAGTGCTTGAGTGAAATTCTTTCCATTATCTAAAACATTGGTGAGGCCCTAGCAACCTCGACTTGTATATGTTGTTTCTTGGTAGTTGTGGTTGAGTGATTATAGATAATGGATGACTTGTTTAGGTTTACATAACATTATAAGTCCGAGGAAGAGTCTCTCATGCCATAAGCATGCTATAGTCGAATGTCGTTTTGTGGTGTTGTTATTGTCCTAGTTATGCTATATTGTGTATCATGCTAATGACCAGTTGAGATTCACCAAATTTTACTTTGCTCCTATGATTTAACCAAACTTGTGTTTAATTGTTTTGTCAATGGCAAAGTTACATTTGATGTTTTGCTTGATGGCAAGCAAAGCTTAAGTGTGGGTGTACTTGATAAATCGTAAATTATACATGTTTTCACACCTTTTTATACGACTTATGCTTTGTCATTTTAGCAATATTTATATATTTTGTCAGTTTTATACTTGGTTTGTTGTTTTAGTGTGTTTTAGGTCATTAGAATTGAAGTTGACGATATTTGGATGAGAAATGCACTAAGTATCATAATTATGGAGTTCATGATGATTTGATAAAGCATTTGAATGTCTTTGAAGTTAATTTTATGAACCCAACAAGCCTAGGCACGACCGTGTTGGTGGACTTGCGTTAGACATGAAGCATTTTCAAACGATTGAAAAAACAAAGAAATAAAATTACTGTTGAGCTGAACACGGCCTGATGCACGTTTGTGCCCTATCACAAAATTCGAAACCGGCTCTTGACACGACCACGAAACATGGATGTGTTCATGGTTGTGTTCGCGGGCGACAACAACTCTATTTAAGCCAAAATTAGGTTTTCTCGAGGGACTTCGACCACACTTAACTTAAATCCTAAAATTCGAGTTAGAGAACTGAGAAATAAGGTTTTGTAGTAGCTCAACCCCTAGAGGATTCGATTGGGAGAGATCAATCAAGCATTCCTCCGTGGAGATTGCCTCTTCTTCTTTATTTGTTTCCTCGTTCTTCATGAACTAATTCATTGTTTCGATGAGATGAACCCTAACCATGATATATTTATTTGATTGGATTAATATAGTTTTCAATGTTTATATCCTTTGATTCATCTTTGATTTATCATACGAGTATATAACGGTTGCACATATGTTGTATGTTTATTTGTTTAATCTCTATAACGAGGAGGGTATCCCTTTATGCATGATAGAATAAAACCTTCAAAGATGGAAGGGATTGATCAGACTGCCAGGATGTGGAAGGCGAATGACCTCTTGATTAGGTTGAAACATAATATGAGAATTCAATTCCCAAACAATGAATGCTTCGATTAATTGATTCTATGTCAAAGATAACTTCAGAATCTAGGATTAATTGATTAATAGAGTGTTAATACGCAAGGGTATCGTGTTTATCGTTATTTTGTGAATTCTTATGGTTTGGGAATGTAACATCGAACATACTTATGATCTTATTGGTGATTTATGTTTAAGGAGAAAGATTCAAAATCCGAACAACACCTTCTTTATTTGATCCAACCATAATGATTAGGTTTATGGGTTTGTTGGGCCATTAATTAGGTGACCAAATGGGCCACAACTACTCAAATTTTGTTGGGCTCCGGCGTGGCAGGCCATCAAAAAATACTTGGTTAAACTCCATCACGATTAACCAAAACGAGACCAGCTTAAGCCGTATGACAGCCCGCAGCTAATCACTAAGTTTGCTCTTCATGCCCTAAGTTGTTTTCAGCGCGATCTCCATCGCTCGGCCTCTCCTTGCTAGCGGTTCCACCCTCTTCTTCCGAGACTAGTCATGGGCCCGGCCAGTTGGCTGTATTCAGTCGCCAATCACGTAAACAACATTATTAAATTGTACGCTAGATACGCATGGTTTGATAGTATAAGAAGCTATAAAATAATTAACTCGAAATATTCAAGTTGATTGGTAGAAGAAGAGAATTCAAATTATTTAAGTACTTCAACAATTCAAAATGATCAATATCATAGAATTTCTCGACATTGTAACTGACTCATCGACTAAAATCTTATTATGAAAATGACAGATCAACCCGAAACGACTCCTAAAGATATTTTAAAATCACCCTTCTATTTACTCCTCATCATTAGAGATTGTTGCATATTTTCTTTTTGACTTGTTTGCACTTCCTCCTTCATGAGCAACATCATCATCTGCACCAATATTAATGTCATCATCTCTATTACTAATACATTTATCTCCATTATCAATTTCCTCTTCTTTCTCCTCATGCATTTCAATTATCTCTTCATTGTTTTCCTGTATTTTATTGCTCACCAGATTTGATGGTAAACTCTTTACAAATATCAATAATCTTTTTCATTATAGTAGAATTTACCTTGTAAATATCCAGGATTTGTTCTTTCTCCTCATCAGTCATCACTCGTATTTGTATCTTCCTCGTGAAAATATCTTCCTGCTTCTTAAGATCATCATCATCTATAGCACCGAATCTAGTAAATTCACCATTAACAGTCTAATTCTTGTTCTCTTGCATCAACATTATGAATTAAGATCTGTAACATTCAAAAACTATAAAAAAAAAGACATTCAAAATGTGGTGTGATTTTTTAGAACAATATGTGTTTAAAATATATTGGAGTTAATATTGTAGGCAGATACAATTGCTTGCACGTTAGTACAAGGAAGCAAAGTTCCACTGGAGTTTTAGTTATAAACGACATGCATTTGCTAATAGATTAAAGAATACGACTAAGTGTCATTTGTGCATGGTTTTAAAATTGAAGACATATATTTGTGCATGGTATACAAATTGAAGACGTATACACTTGATAATACGACCAAGTATACAAATGCATGCATGCTAGTGGGTCATAAAGTAAAGTTTCTCTCGAGTTTTAAGTTACAATTAAATTTGTTTGTCATAGTTAAAGAATACAAATGAATATCATCTTTGCATGATATAAAAAATTGAAGAACTATATACTTGATTATATAACTAAGTATAATTTAGACATGGTGTATAGTTGATAACAATTTATTTACTGGACGATAGACTCAAACAATTGCATTGGAAAATCATGTGAGAAGTGGATATGGTAGGAAAGTTAGTTAAATAATAATCAGAGGGTATATGTTCAAAAATACTCCAAACCCGATAGAGAATATCACAATTTTTAATCAATAATGATTATCATTTTCATGCAAGTATAATTTACCTCGATCAAGTCACGAAGATCGTCTTAGTTATGCTCTTCTCATCCTTGCCTATCCTAGAAGTCGTGTACTCGCTTGTCAATTAGTAATGTAATATGCAGGGTTCAAGAAGGCGCGCCTAGGCGCACGCCTAGGCTCAATTAGGCGCTAGGCGGTGGAGGATCGCCTTGACTTGGCCATAGGCGTTGTAAAAGGCGCTGGTAGCGCTTAGTAGGTAGGAATAGCGCTTAGTTTGCGCCTAGTGGAGAGAAGGCGTGCCTGGGCGAGCTTAGGCGGTTAGACCCAATACTCTTCGTTTGGTCCTAGAAAATCAGAAACTTGCCTCTTGCCCTAGAAAATCAGAAACACGGGAAGTAACATCTGCTGCCGCCTGCCACCCTAGCTCCCGCCCCATTTGCTGCTCTCTGCCGCCGCAGGAGAAAGTCATTCACTCTTCTCTCTTTCACACCGCTCCGCTGCTATAGTGGGAAATAAAGTCGAAACTCGCCAATTGTTGCTCCTTCCTTCTCCTCGGTACGTAGCACAAGCTTATTGCCTCTATAAGCACCTATTAGCAGATGATTGGTCACTATTTGCTTGTTATTTGTTATGTTAAGTGTTTACTGTTTAGAACTAGGCATTGCTAATTTTATATGCACTTGGATTATATGAATCATTCCATAAAATAGGAAATATTTGAGAATTTTTCCATTTATGCTCTGAACGCCTAGGCGCGCCTAGGCTACGCCTAATCGGGCAAGGCGCAAGTCAGGAGCCGAGCGCCTGCCTTACGCCTAGCGCCTTTTAGAACCTTGGTAATATGTGAGCTTGATAGCAAACTTCAATATCCTTCCCTCAATTTGTAGCAAGTGGTATTCCTCTCATTCTAATGTTGTCTTTGAATGGCCTTTCAGCTGGCATTCCAAAAATCTCATCTCCCAAGAGATCCATATCAACAAAGTTAGCCTAAGTTGTTTTGTCCGCAACTCGAAGGTGGATCCTGAAAAAAATATAATGTTAGTAATGACATAAACAACAATAGAAACCGATACTTTTGTGGACAGGCTTCACTTCCAGCATAATACCAATCTTCTTAACTTTGACTACTTTGTTTTTTATGGAATACATATTTACCTATATATTACATAAAATGTTAGCATTTTATAGTTAATGGGTCGTTAAATCAAAATTGATACTAACCTCCTCCATCCTTCATTTTTAGTTGATTTGGCGCTTGCAGTGTTTTGGTTGAAATTAGTTGTTGATGTGATTTCATGCTTTTCACAGGAAGAGTTGGTCAATCTTAGTCACTTTTTTACAAAAAAAAAAGAATGATAATTAATCCATTTTTTCTATTTGAAACTTGAAAGTTATAATGCGCAACCAAATACGGTGATTAAATTGTCATGAATTTCACCTTGGCCCAAGATTAGGACTTTGCTATGGTGACATGCATATCACCGTAACTTGCTCTTTTAGGTCGATCTCATATAGCATTAGGTCGACCTAATATAGGATTAGGTCGACCTAATCTGTCGTTTCAGTCTTGTGCTAGAAGGCAGCTTACTTCGTATCAACTTCAAACCTATTGTTTGAAGCCTTCCAGATATCCAATATTTCATCCAATGCCTTGACTTTGTAGACAAAAATACCTACTTTCACGTGGTAGAGGCCCCTGGACTTGAATCTCACCCATGCTTATAGAATTGAGCTCCAAAGTAGGCTTCACAAACACTTTCCCAGACTCAGCCATTTTCAGGCAGTTTCCCTGTTTTTGCATAGCCTTTTGATTAGGTTAAAAAATGCTCTTCTGGGCTTCCTATCGAGCTCCCAAGCACTTCAATGTTTAAGGGGACACTCCAGCTTCAAAATAAGCCATTAATCTCCAATTTCCATCGAGCCAATTGTAAGATATGAATCTCCAAAGTAGGCACCATGAAACTGTTTTTACACTGAAACGACATATTAGGTCAACCTAATCCTAATTGACGTCGACCAAAAAGTACAAGTTACGGTGGCATGCATGTCACCATAGGCGCACCCCCAAGATTAATGGCTTCTGAAATTCTTGGATTCATCAACATCAAAGTCTCTCCAAACGAGGATAAGATTTTCTCAATTGCAAATTTGTTGATCGTTAATTAAATTTCATATTTATTTGCAAATGGTTTGATCAATAATGACAAAATAAGAAAGATGTTTCCTACCTACATATTAATAAAGATGTTAGCATTCAATAGTTAATGGGTCGTTAAATCAAAATTGATACTAACTTATTTGTCATCCTTCATTTTTAGGTGATTTAAGCGTTTGCAGTGTTTTGGTTGAAATTAGTTGTTGAGGTGCTTTTCACACGAAGATTTGTTTAATCTTAGTCTCTTTTTACCAAACATAAGAATGATAATTAATCCCTTTTTCTATTTGAAACTTCAAAATTATAACACGCAACCGAATATAGTGATTAAATTGTCATGAATTTCACTTTGACCCAAAATTAGTGGTTTTGGAATTCTTTGATTCGTCTCTAGCAAAGTCGCTCCAGATGGTTTAAATAAATGGTTTAAATTTGACAATGGTTTCTTGCTTCCAAATTTGACAATGGTTTAAATAAATGTCATATTTACTTGCATATGGTTTGATCAATAATGGCAAAGTAATAAAGATGTTTCCTACCATATAGTGATGTAATGACCTGGATGAGAGGGTGGTCACCCACATTTGCAAATATGACATTTAATTGGGTAACTATCCTACCAAAAATAGTTATCTTGACAACCAATCTCTTGCACCCAAATTGTATATTAGATTTGGGATTAGAGTTACAGTTATGCATGCTATTAAACATTGAAAATAAAAAGTACATACCCGGGAAGGTTTCATTGGAGCATCCTTGTAGGTATTTTTTCCACTGAGTGTTGGATGTCAATAAATTTAAATACTGAATAAGCTGGCCAACAACATCCGTGATATGAAAATTTTAAAAAATTAATTAATGTTTTTGGTTGTTTACTCATTAGATTGAAATAAATTTGAATTGAGAATAATAATTCGAACCTGAAAGAAATTTTCTTTAGTTGCACTTTTCGTCTATCTCATCTTGTTAGATGAAATGAAACTTGTAAGCTAGTATGGCTGGAATATCATCGCATACTTCAAATTCTGTATTTGATGACCAAGTTTTTAAAAATTGGCCTATAGTCTCCTATTGTAGTGCTGGTCATAAAGTCTTGATAGTGTAAACTCTCTAGTCGCGAAACAGTGAACGAAACATCATTGATTTCGCCTTTGGGAATTTGCACTAAAATATCATTATTCTGAAGAAAAAATTAGGAATATTAATTTTTTTTTGAAATTTGAATCATAGAGTTGAATTCGCGTGTTTGTTGTTAGTTTACATTTTGAGTCAATAACTATCATACCAGGACAAAGAATAATATATTTGGGATTGATTGGCAGCCAATTCCTCGACACCTAACATTGAAGAATCAAGCTTCTCTTTTAAGTCTTTGAGATCAGATATAAGCTTCGATTTAATATTGACTAACCTCTAATTAAAACAATAGTGAAACAAAAATTTCTTTTTGTTTCACAATGGATATCAGATTAACTCACAAAATTGTAATAAGCTGAATCTTGATGCCTAGTGTGTGATTAAAGAAACAGAGATTAGGTCATTCTAAAATAAGAATCTTGACATATATAACCATTGATATTATATTAGTAGTAAAATTTGGAAAGTAAATATAGAAGTGAAGATTCGAGGATTGTAGCACTTAAATACAATTTAATCCTCCTAAAACCATGAACATAAGTGAATTGAAAATATTAAATTCTACTACCAGTACATAATAACATTTTAGTACGGATGCAATTGCAATTGGGTAGTGAGTAGGGGGAAAACTAAATTTAGTAAAACATCAACAACATTTGAATAAGGACTTGCTGGTAAAAGTAAAAGAGAAGCGACAATGGCAGTCATCATGGAAGAAAGAATACATGCAATAATTTATAAGCCAACAGATAATCAATTGGAAAGGGTTGAATGTGTTGGGTGGGATTAGCAGAGTATCTCTAATCCATGAATTATATAGTAGTCAGGTGAGAGTTAGTTGTTGTATAGGATTATGTATCCGGCCTTCACTGTGCTATTATCCTTGGCAATTGTGGCTACTTGATTGCAAAGTTACGGTAGGTGTAGCAGGAATGTAATTGCAAGGTAAACCATTTTTATTTTGTGTTCTTATTCAATTAAGTAATTTTACTATTTGTGTACCGTATAAATTTTGGAATGAAATGATGAGTTAAGCTCTCTAAAGTTTTAAATTTTGTCTTATTCACCGAGGTTTTAAAGATTCTTTTATTAGTTTTCTTCATATAATAACCAAACTGAATCAACGGAGAATTACTAAGCCAGTTACAGTTAATTTGATTGGTCGGTTAGAGATGAACCAAATGGTTTTTAAAGGTTTGACATGAAACCAAATGAACCACCTCGATTTAACTGATTCACTATTTTAACCACACAAAAATAAAGAAAAAAGTATGTTAACGTAAACTAAACCATCCAGTGTCATAACAAATTTTATTTATGCTTAATGTTTCATATCCCAACCTCCTTGTCAGATTTATCTAGTTTACTATAGATTATTACTCTTATTATTAACTTGAATTCAATAAAATAAAAAAATAGAGCAAATACTAATTATTAGTCAAACCTTTACCGTATTTGAAAATATTAGTCAAACCTTTTGAAATACAAAATATTAGGCAAATATTTTGTAACGCATCAAATATTAGCCATGTTTATACTACCGTTAACCATTTTGTAACTCTTTTCTTAGTTATAATACTAAAATTTTGAAATGTTGAACTCCATATGTCTTTTCTGAGTCATTATCATATTGCCTAGTCAATACAGCTAACAAAACTACTAACTAGAAGTTAACCTTTGGCTAATATTTTGTATTTTGAAAGTTTTGGCTAATTTTAAAATTAGGAAAATGTTTGACAAATAATTAGTATTTACCCCCCACCCCCACACAAAAATGTTTTTTGTGAGATAGTTTGAATGCTTTGATAGGAGTTTTTAGTGATAGATGATACGGATTTGAATTTTTTTTATGACAGTGATGAACTCACTTCTAACTTAGTGTATTATATATGTCCTTTATATCATAGTGGACATATAGTATTTTCTTCCACCCTACATTTTACAAGTGTGCCGTTTAATGAATGTATTGTGTCAATGTATGTATTGTAATATACATGCAATTAAGGAAAATGATGTAATGTACTTTACATTGTTTGGTTTTGGTGATAGTTCTTTTAGTATTCAACATGTTATATTACTTTTTTGTGAGAAATATCTTTTTTGCCTTGCTTTTATGAGAACATATATATATAACTAGGGGTATACTTGGAACAAAAAATAAACCCAACAATCTCATCAAAACTATATCAACAATCCCAAGTTTTAGCAGAGATAGTACTATCACTAATTTTCAGTGATATTTTCCATCACATCAAGCAAACAATGCAAGTATTGTTTGTGCAGAAAATTCAAAAAAACAATGCATTATGGACAATACATGCATTGTAACTATCCCAACCAAACAATCACCAAAACCAAATGACCTAAATAGCTAAATTGCATGGACTTGTTGAATTATATTGAACAACACCTAATATATTTGCTTGTTCTGAATAACATCATAATCAAGCCCATATAGCATAATTATTAGTTAGATTTTCATTGGCGAGTTAAAGAAGGAGAAGTATGACATAAGTAGCCACGTGTGGAGGCCCAAATAGATTGAAACACTTCCTATACTATAAGGCCCGTAAGGATTAGATATCAAAAGACTATAGACCCCCTCCGTGGAATTATGGGGGTGATGAGGAGAACCTCCATATATGTAGGGATGACAAAAAAATCCGAACCCATGGGTACCCTACCCGACCCGACCCTTCCCGACTTAACCTGGGTAAAACCCGTGTTGATGGGTTTCAGGTCGGGTTCGAGTTTAAACCCGTACACTATTCATTGGGTTGGGTTTAGGGATACCCGACCCATGGATACCCGTCCACACTTATTTTGTCACCCTACTCTCCCTAAAATAGGGATGACAACAAAACCCAAACCCACGGGTACCCACCCGACCCAACCGGTCAATGCGGACAAAACCCATGTTGACGGGTTTTGGGTCGGGATCGGGTTTAAACCCGCTACACTATTCACTGGGTTGTGTTTGGGTTTAGGTAAACCCGTCCCATGGGTACCCACCCACACACATATAATTACTTTTCCAGTATATTTAATATTCTAAATAATATATCTTCCTTAAACAACTAATGTTCTTTATGTTTGTGGAGACATGTATAATTTGTTCTTTCTAATTGTTTAGAATGAAGTTGATATTATGAAGTGAAGAGTGAAGAAACTTAGTTGACGAGGAAGAAACTTTCAATTAATCTTATTATTTATAGATGTTTATTTTTAATTTTGAACCATTTGCATTTGATCATTTGCGGTATGCTCGTATGCTCTAGATTGGTGTTTTTTGTATGAATAATTTGTATGAGAAAATTGATGTTAAACTTTTATTTTGAAAGAAACTTGTTATTGTACATTTTTTACCACAAAAACCCACGGGTACCCATGAACCCGCGGATACCCAGCGGGCTGGGTTTGAGTTTTTCAAACCCAGCGGGTTTTACCCCGGGTTTTTTTGGCTGATAAACCTATGGGTTTGGGTTTACAAAACCCGCCCCAACCCGACCCATTGCCAGCCCTACCCTAAACCCTACCCTAATTCTAATTTTCCCCCAATCTAACTCTCACTACACTTACTCCGTGTGCTTTTATTTAGTGTAATTGTGATTTGTTCGAATTTGTTAGAGTGGTGTTTTATTTATGGATAATTTGTATAAGAAAATTGATGTTTGAATTTTATTTTAATAGAAACTTGTTATTGTAAATTTTTTACCGCAAAAATCCATGATACACATGAAGCCATGAATACCCTGCGGGTTGGGTTGTGTTTGAGTTTTTCAAACTCAGTGGGTTTTACCCCGATTTTGTTAAGAATAAACCAATGAATTTAGATTTGGCAAAATCCGACCCAACTGAATAATTGCCATCTCTACATATATGTATTGTCTGATTTCCTTCGAGGTCAGCATCTCTTCTCTCACCTCTTTAGCTCTAGGGTTTCGGCTCTCAGCCTCCGTTCGACTCCGCTGAGGTTCTATTTGTTTCTCGTTAAAGCTGAACTGATCGGGTGGCAGCATATAGGTCGGCTTCGCATTTTTTAGTTCCAAATGGAATGAACGAAGCTTTCAATTGCATAGCGCATGCTTTCAGTTTTCTGCACAGTATTTAGTCTGCTCTGTTGGTTGATTGTTGATCTCTGTTCATGCCTTTTTAGATTTCGGTTTTGAGGGCGGTGTACATCTATATCACATATCGGAATGGCGGTGAGTTGGCGTCTGGAACGGCTCTTGTTTTCTGCTTCTTTTCATTACCTGAAAGTTGTGAACGATCTGTTATGGTGCGTGTTGTGTAGATAGAAAGGATTCTTAAAGATGATGCTAGTGAAGAGAAAGGAGAGCGTGCCAGAATGGTGAGTTTTCCTCTGGACTTAGTTGAATTGAAGTGGTTGTAGAGCTTAATCTTGTCGTACGGAAGTTATTTAACACTAAGTTTACTTTCCTAGGCATCTTTTGTTGGCGCCATGGCCATTGCTGATCTGGTCAAGACAACTCTGGGTCCTAAGGGGATGGTAAGCTTTATTTTCTATAGTGCTTGTACTGGTTTGTCTATGCTATTAACTAACAGCTTGCACTTTTCGGTTGTTTCCGTTCCCAGGATAAAATACTGCAGTCTACTGGAAGAGGTCAGACAGTGACTGTGACTAATGATGGGGCTACCATCTTGAAGTCACTTCACATCGACAACCCAGCTGCTAAAGTCCTTGTTGGTATCCTTACTTTTGTTGCTACATATACCTACTATTGTCGATCATGTTTTGTTTGGGTTCTCATCATTCCTATCAGATTGTAATTCCATGGGAGTTGGTATGATGAGATTCAGTTGCAGTTACTAAATTGTTTGCCACACCGCTGTTGTGGTAGAAATATTGGAGCATGGTGCAAAAATATACATCTTGATGCTGATCCTTAACCCTAAATTAGATATTTCGAAAGTTCAAGATGATGAAGTTGGGGATGGGACAACTTCAGTAGTTGTCTTAGCTGGTGAACTATTGAGGGAGGCCGAGAAACTTGTTGCATCGAAGATCCACCCAATGACCATCATAGCAGGTTTGCTCCGGGCATTTCAACTTTGTATTCATGTTCTCTCCTTGCATCATTTGAGTATTGGAAACCTTGGTTACTACCATTCTTAGAAGAACATTTAGCTCAACTTTACTCTCCGTGGTGTCTACCAAGCTGCTGTTGGCCATTGTGGATTGGATGTTTGCCGACAACCCCTTGGTCACTGGTTCAAGCTTGGAACTCTCTCACTCTCTCGTGGTGTCTGGATTATGTGACTGTTTCTCTAAATATTGCTATAAATAATCTGTGGTCCTCAACATCAAACTGCTATCAGACACTGCATGGTTTAATACTTAGTGTGGTTGGCAGCATCTTTGCTGCAATCCAAATTTTTTGTAATGTTTGGGTTATCTTACTCTCTTGCCACTGTGTGGAATCATGTCCATGTTTCTGTACGTATCTGCATCTAAATTGGTGGTCATGTGATGATGGCTAATAACCAGAAACTTACATTTTTGAATTTCAGGGTTTCGGATGGCAGCTGAATGTGCTCGAGAGGCTCTTCTTAAAAAGGTTGTGGATAATAAAGCTAATGAAGGTACTTCTTATGCACTGATAACTTGTGGTCCAGTGCGTTGACTTCCAACTGTTTTTTGTTTATGCTGGTCGTTTGCTGGGACTTGGGATTTTGTTGTAAAGGTAATTGACATGCTTTAAAGTCACTGTGATTACATATTTGTCTTACCATTTTAAATTATCAAATTGCAGAGAAGTTCAAGACAGATTTGATGAAGATTGCAAAGACAACTTTGAGTTCCAAAATATTATCACAGGATAAGGAACACTTCGCCAAGCTGGCTGTTGACGCTGTTTTGAGGCTAAAGGTCAATGGCTTTTTAAGTTTGCTTGGTTATGAATTTATCTTTTTCATGTCATGAGTGTGTCCCTGCCATCGTCCCATTTAAATTTTGGAGTTGATTGAGAACCAAGAATCTCAAATCTTCTTCATGCATAGATTATATCATCTTGGGACTGTCTCTGAACGTGCTAGTGACTGGCGGCTGGGTTCCGCATGTAGGTTCTCATGTGTGGACTGTTGTAGTAGATATAATAAGCTCATGTGTGTAATGACCTTTTGATTTTATGTTTCACTTTGTTGAAGGTTTGGATTATTTGTGCTAACGCTGTTGATCTTGCCTCTTATTTCTAATGTGTTGTTTCCTTATACTTCTTGATTACAGGGCAGCACAAACTTAGAATCCATCCAAATCATCAAGAAGCCTGGTGGTTCACTTAAGGATTCATTCTTGGATGAAGGGTGGGTATATGTGAACGTATTCACCTTTGCGGCTTTTAGTATCATGCGAAGTCCTCCATGTTTTCCCAACAGTCCTCACTAAATCAATTGTCTCTCTGTTCAGGTTTATTCTTGACAAGAAAATCGGAATTGGACAACCAAAACGGATTGAAAATGCTAATATTTTGGTGGCTAACACTGCAATGGACACAGATAAAGTAAAGATCTACGGCGCACGTGTTCGTGTTGATTCAATGGCTAAAGTTGCTGATATTGAAGCAGCTGAGAAGCAGAAGATGAGAGAAAAGGTGGACAAGATCCTAGCCCATGGGATTAATTGCTTTGTTAACAGACAGTTGATTTACAATTTCCCAGAAGAACTCTTTGCAAATGCTGGGGTGCTTGCAATTGAGCATGCAGATTTCGATGGGATTGAACGGCTAGCTTTAGTTACCGGAGGTGAAATTGCCTCAACTTTTGACAATCCTGAATCTGTTAAGCTTGGACACTGCAAGCTTATTGAGGAAATTATGATTGGAGAGGACAAGCTAATTAAATTCTCTGGCGTTGAGATGGGCCAGGCATGCACTGTCGTACTACGGGGTGCAAGGTAATCCTCTAGTATTTGTAGTTTATTCAGGATCTTTGGTCATTTTTGCTCTTTTGTTTCAGTTTTGCCTAACCTTTGTTTCTAAAATCATTATAAATTTTGCTTTCATGCGACATGTAATGACAAGTGGGAGGAATTTTTAGCAGAGGTGTATTTGCTTTCTTCTCTCTTTATTACGATATCACATCATGTGAATTATTGTTGGTGTAGACACATTCATACTGGTTTCATGGTCTAATTTTCAATTCTTCTCACTTAGAAATATGTTTCTTTTACCTTGTGCAGTCATCATGTGCTCGATGAGGCAGAAAGGTCTCTACATGATGCCCTCTGTGTTTTATCCCAAACGGTGAACGATAGCCGGGTTTTGTTTGGAGGCGGATGGCCAGAAATGGTGATGGCTAAGGCAGTAGATGAACTTGCTCGAACGACCCCGGGGAAGAGGTCTCATGCCATTGAAGCTTTCTCCAGGGCTCTTGTGGCCATTCCAACCACCATCGCAGATAATGCTGGTTTAGACAGTGCTGAGCTAGTAGCCCGGCTTAGAGCAGAGCACAACAAGGAGGATTCTAATGCTGGCATCGACGTCATCTCTGGATCTGTAAGTATTTTTCAATTGTTGGAACTTCTCTCCGTTTATTGGCTAGTACATGAGATGAATTGTGAGAAACCTCAGTGTCCTGTTGCCATTATGCCTTACTCAGTCTCTTAGCTAGTTAGCTTCCCCAACTCCTACATGTTTGAGGTTACTTTACCGATAGTGAACGAGCTTAATTTTATTAAGTTTCACTATTTGACATAGCCCCATCACTAAATGTCGTGCAGGTTGGTGATATGTCAGAGCTAGGGATTTCAGAGGCGTTCAAGGTTAAGCAAGCGGTACTGCTTTCTGCAACCGAGGCTGCCGAGATGATTCTCAGGGTAGACGAGATCATCACTTGTGCGCCACGAAGGAGAGAAGATAGAATGTAAAACGTGGATTGGATCTGCTGTTTTCTCTCTTAGGGCACTTGCATTTTGGCCAATCAATGTTATGAAACTGTATTGTTGTTTAACGTTAGATTGTTGAACTGATAACTTCGCCAAACCTGCCCCAGTTTTTCGTGTGATGCCGGTTTCTGTAGAGTTGTGGAACTCCAGTGTTTTGTATTGATCGAATTCTAAAACTGTGCATTGTTATTTGAAACAGTATCGTGTTTAGATGATTTTGGACTTCTGAAGTTGCTGTGATGCAGGACGAGATCTTTTGTTATTGAAAATTCTGCTCTTGATTGAACCTTGCTCCCTGTTAACTACGCATTTTTAAAAGCGTAGTTCCCCTGTATCTTAGGGAGTCTATCAGCATTGAAGTCCCTGCTACTGTATGTTTGTTTTTTAGCAGTGCTATCTGGTTGGATTGGAAACATCGGATACTGAATTCAAATCTATATGCGATCTAGTACAAATACACCATCACTAAGATGTCCGGTGTAACCTCCAGTAACTCATTCTTGTTTAGAAAAATGTCATTCCGTTATTGGTTCTTCGTTCGAAAAAACTACTTCTAAGAGGCGAGAAATAAACTAATTTTTTATTAGAAAAATCTCTTTTTCCTTAACAACTGACGAGAATTGTAGTAACATAACGTCTGAATTCGGCATGAGAATCCTATCAACTGACGAGTTCCCATTTCTTGATAAGTGTGGATTTGGACCTGTCCAGAAATGTGGACACTCGCCATTTCTTTGCCTGAGAATTTGGATCATATACTGCCTTCTTGGAAGGAAAAAATAAGAAAAATAATCTTATCTCTCGCTTCTGTAATTTGTTTTATTTTACCTGTTTCTGATTTATATTCTTGGGATTCGGAAAACCTGTTTCCGTCACCGTTGCAGACTTGCAGTCCTCAGTAAGACTTTACAAGAGCAAATTGAAGCTCTTTCTCGCTCGCTCCCTCTCCCTCTCCCTCTCTCTCTCTCGATTAGCTTAGAGAAAGTCAGCAAACGCAGCCAGCTCTCCAATGGCGGACGGTTCAGGGTTTAGTCATCAACTCGTTGCTTCTCACAGATTCCCCGAGGTACTAATCACAAACTTAAAAAATTATTTCTCGTGCGGTTCCGCTTCCGAATAAGGAATTTGGCTAAGATCCGATAGCTTTCTGTTTGTTTGCCCTGTCATTTCTCGTCGGGATTGTTGGCGGTGACCAGACGACGTTCGATTACACGGAGAGGTAGAGCTCTCTCGGTCCCTCGCCGTAGTTCGTTTTCTTGTACCTTCTTCCGTTGAATTTTGGAGTTGTCTGAATGTCTTTCTGCTTGATAGAGACGTAGCTGTTTATGCTCTGGGAATCGGAGCTTGTGGCCGAGATGCCGTCGATGAAGACGAGCTCAAATATGTTTACCACGAGAACGGCCAGAAATCTCTCCAGGTACCGTTGTTCGGATGATTCTCGAAATTCGCTGGTGAATTGTTCTTAGACACTTGCGAACTGTTTTCAGAATGAAGGATTTACTAATCTCATCTGCAATTTGCTCAGGTCCTTCCAACATTTTCTGCTTTGTTTTCGGTGGGAACAATGATGAAAGGGTTGGACATACCTGGTTTAGAGTGAGTATCTGAAACTAACCTTATTCCTACGGCGAATCAGTAGCTGACTATCACAGTCTGTTTCTTTTGGTAGTTATGATCCTAGGCTTCTGTTGCATGGGCAGCAGTATATCGAACTTTACCAGCCATTCCCTTCAAGTGCATCGGTAAGTTCTTCGAACCGGAGCGACCATTTAGTCTAAAGGTTCCAATTCCAGTGGTGACATAAGCTGTTTGTGTTTTGTGACTATTTGTTCGCTGATTGCTGATGCAGCTGGTGAACAAATCAAGTCTTGCTGGATTGCATGACAAAGGTTTGTAATAGCAAACTGGTGTAAGTTTACAGAACTATCTGCCGTTTTTAGGGTTGTAACTACTGTAATTTGCTCCTTGTTAATGCTGGCAGGCAAAGCTGCTATTGCTGAAATTGAGACCAAGACTTATGAGAAGGGATCTGGCAAATTACTATGCATGGGCAGGTGAAGTCTGATTAAGACTCATCATGTGTTTGAGGCTCCAGTCCTTTACTTGAGCTCTGATGTTATGTTTTCTCGCTTTTCCAGATCAACGGCTTTTCTCAGGGGAGCTGGTGGCTTCTCAAAGTCACCTCAGCCGTATTCATACTCCACTTATCCAAAAGACCAAATTGGTGCTATTGAAATCCCCAAATCTCTACCCTCAGCTGTGTTTCAAGATCTTACTCAACCTTCTCAGGCATGTTAACTTTTGTGATGCTTCTTTTTTGCTTCGTAGAGTTATCCGCCTGATCTATGTGCCCTATGAATCCTTCTTCCTTGTTATGCTACTAGGGCACTAGCATTGTAAGGTTTAATTAAGCCTGAACTTGCTGCTAATTCTGTATTTCCATTAGTGGTTTGATAACAGTAAGACCTAAAAAGTCTCCCTCTCCTAGGAACGAGCGATTGCTTGATCAGTGTGCCTTGCAGTAGTTCTGGATTCCATAACTCTTTGTTTTTCCCACCTCCATTTTGCAGGCATTGCTGTATCGGCTGTCCGGTGATTATAATCCACTGCATTCCGATCCTAACATTGCTACAGTTGCAGGGTTTGTAATCTCTCCCATCCTTCTCCATATAAGCACTCTAAAACATCACATCTGATCATGTTACATTACACATCACAGATTCTCGCGTCCGATATTGCACGGACTGTGCACTCTTGGATTTGCAGTCCGAGCAGTCATCAAATCCATCTGCAGAGGAGACGCGAATGCAGTGAAGAACATTCTAGGCCGATTCCTCTTACATGTTTACCCTGGCGAGACTTTGATCACCGAAATGTGGCTTCAAGGCTCGAGGTAATAATGCTATCATACTGAAATGAACTCTGAATAACGACCGGACATTCATGTTTCTGTCTAATTGAGCTCAAACTGGTTTTTTATTCAATTGTCTGCAGGGTCTTCTACCAGACAAAAGTGAAAGAAAGAAACCGGGCTGTGCTGGCTGGCTATGTCGATCTTCGTCATATACCTTCTGCTTTGTAAATCCAAGGGGATCAAAATGTCTGAAAAACAACCGTTGTAGTCCAATAAATGTATGCATGTGTGTTGTTATAGCCTTTTAGTTTGGCACATTTGTAATTGTGGAGCTCGTTTGGTCATCTTTTGTAGTCCAATAATGTATGCATATGAGTTACTATAAGTGATTTGATAAATAACTAATAACCAAGGGTGGCTTGGATATGAGATTGTTGAAATACCTGGATTAAGAGGTAGATTTGAATATTTTTTTCTTTGTATGATAAGTGATTCCTAGATTTTGATTGTTATATATTGTGAGTGCTCATTAGAGATGGATTCAAATCAACAGTATAATTTATAGCTGAAAAGTAAAACTGCAACCCCATTCAAATTTCCCTGTCCATAGAGTGATTTTAGGAAGCTGATGTGGCAGGATGTTAAGCGGGAAAAAAATAAAACTCCCCGCCCAGAACTAAGAAACCGTCCCTCCCCAACTTTTCTCCTGTTTCCCACGTCATCATTTAATTTTATTTTAGTTTTCGTTTGACTGAAATTAAGCCCACCTTTTCTACTGGTTATTGGCTCAAGATAGGGTGCATAACCCACCCATCAATAACTAAATCTGGATCCTTTATTTAGAAAATCTAGATCTAATAATGGAGAATTAAAGATCATTTTTATTTTTCCTAACTTTCTTAATTGACTCATATCTTTTTCGTTTTAACTTGTATTTTAATTTTTTTTTGCACAGATGGAACGAGTTCATCGTGCTCTACAAAATAAGATCAATTTTCAATAATTTTTTAGAAAACAAATTATGGCCTCTCGGTACCAACTGCATACCATATGGTATCTTCTTTGTTTTTAATTCGTTTTTGAAAACGTTTGCACAACAGGGACGAGTTCATCATGATCTATTTGATCTACAAATTTCTGGGTGAACAAATTACAAGACCAAAAAATACCACACAATACCATACAATACCACCCTGGTACGGGGTGGTATCTTATGGTATACAATGTTAAAAATCGTAAATGACAATTAATATACTCTACTATCATGTATTCAACCATCCTACAGTTTCGATTGTGTCATACCACCATGGTACCCTTTTCAAACCATAGGTATGCTCTTATTTCAATACCAGTCAATACCATATGGTATAGACTGGTAAAAAATGGCTCAATTTTTTTTGTTCGAAAAATATATCAAAGTGGATATCATTTTGAAGAACACAATTAATCTGATCTAACTGTGCAAAAAAAAAAAACTAAATTTTGACTTAAAACGAGTGAGAAATCGTTCGTCAAAGATTAAGGAGGGGAAATTTAAAGGTTTTTCAGGAGAGAGAGGATGCTGGTGTCATGCTAATGTGGACGGGTTACTCATGGTTACTCACCATAAGGTTACTGACCTGATCTGTTCCCCTGGTTATTAAGAGAGAGAAGAAACTCACGGAAAGGGAAGCGCAATTGCAAGCACATTACAGAGAGAGGGGGGAAAGGTGAAAGGGAGGAGAAGGAAGGAGGTTGCTTACCCTTTTACAGATACGATCTGCGGAAGGAATGGAAGAAGCGATTAGGCAGGCGCAGAGGAGCTTCCCGTTGGCGGTAAAGTAGAAAGCATCGGGGTTTCCATGGTTGGGGATCAAGGAGAGCTTTAGGGAGCGGAGGGTTTAGGGTTTGGAGGCGGCTGGAATTTGGGGTTCTGAGGAGAACCTGGATCGATTTGGGGTGCATATTTGCGGGTAAACTTTCTAGGGTTTGGGAAGACAAAATTGAATCGTGTAATTGAGGAGAGAAATCGGAAGAACACCGTCTCCCCCGCCGCCACGAACCCTGCTTCTTCTTTCTTCTCTACTTCAGGCTCTAGAAGGTCGCTCCAAATCGCTCCAGCTACTCTTGGATGGGTTTGTTCTATTTCTCCCCCTTTCATTAACTCTTTACATTCTGGGTTCAGTTCATATTCATTGCATTCTGAACGAGGGTGCTTCCCAAGATCCTAAGTTATTCAACTCTTTACAAAAAGAGGGCATTTTGTTCCCATTCCAAAGCTTTGTCCAAATATGAAGCTAATTATGATACTGGAATCGACAGCTTCCAGCGACAAAGACGAAACCAGGAAAACACAGAAGTAAAAGAAAGATGGAGCCACTGTCAAATTCTATTCAGTTAGAGTTAGTTAACTCTTTTCAGCATCACTGTTATTTTTAATGTTTGTACCTTAGCTCTGATGACTTTGAATGGTCCTAGGTAAACAAAGTTGCATAGCTATGAATGATAACATGATGAGCTGAATCGTCACTGTAAATGCTTGAAATTGTGTTAATTCCTGACCCCGACTCCGAAATTTCCCCTCCTAACCCTGAACTCCCCTGCCATTTTAAAAAAAGAGAAAGAGTACATTAGTAATGACTAATGTAGGGAAACTGATGATATGATCTCATTGTCTAGGCATGTTGCTGCTTCACATCATGCGCTTAGCGTGTGAAGGGGAACCTTAAATCCCACTCTATATTTAGCTTCGATTTGTTAGCTATACCCGCAAACAGTCATCTTGAAGAACCTCAGGCGTTCATTTTGTTATTGCCCGCAAATTTCAATCCTGCTGAACCGTTGTAAAGATCTTTGCACAATTTTCAAATTGCACTATGATCCAGACCTGCCTCCCATTTGTTAAGCTTGAATCTTTATGAATGTTTGGGAAACTGTGGTTTGATGCGGTAATGTTGAAATATTTATGTTTGGAAATCTTGCTGCTCTGCAGGCAGCGTCTAAGCTGATAAAGAGCTCAGTTTTGCCGACTCTTGAAGAATACAGACCCATAATTCTGTCATCTCTCAAGTTCTCCAAGTTTACTTTTGGTACAGTTTCCCCTTAGTCAGGTTGGTCCTCTTCTTTCTTTTCTATTGTGATTAGTTTGAGATTCGAAGTAGAGAATTGTGTTCCAATAGTATAATATATTTTTCCGCATGCTCTGAACTCAATAGAGTCATGATTTGTTAAGTATCTTTTAAGAACATTGATGCAGCTACCTAGGTCATGTAACTAAGGATAAAGTATGCATTTATACTTGGTGGGAAGAGTTTTATTGCCCTTGCAAAATTGCAGGACTCGGAACTGAACTTACCACAAGTAGTCCATGTTGGATTAGAAAAGGCTGCCTCTTGATTCCATCACCACCTCTGCTCCCATCTCTACCTTATGGTATTCTCTGCATATTTAGTATGAACCCATAATGGGATATTCAGGTAACATCTTACATCAATGTCTTGGTATTTGTATCCATGAACCAGATTAGAAGAAGCACATATCCCAATTGGGTGGGCTCAATCACTACATATTTTCTCCTCTCCTCCACAGAGGACCCGGACCCAACCTGAAGCCATCAGTGTAGAAGAGAAGGAACCATTTATGTGAAAGCTAAGTGGACCTTGAACCTGGATAAAGAGACCGTTGTAAGTATCGAACGGTAAGTGGGGAGAGAGGGCAGTATATGATTGCAAAAATAATATGCTAGGATTGGTTGCTGCTCTACTCAATTGACAGTTAATTGGTTTTGGAGAAGTATATGATTCTGTGGGGCAACAACATCAATGGTTATTATGTCTCTAAATTGGTTTTTCACTTTCGATGCTGGCCCTTAATCCTTTTTGGCTATAGTGACAAGGTCAGTTTCTACATCCTCCATTCTTTTCTCTCTTCTGTTGGCAGCAAAGTTGTGGCCGGTATGAATTTAGTTTGAGTCAGCAGAAGATGGAATTAGTAGGCGTCCAAACTGACTAGGGTGATAGTGTATAGTTTCTTGGGGTTTTGAACTCATTTTTTCAATATTCTTCAACCGGTTATTCAATTCAAAAGCAACAAAGTTCCATCCTAAGTTACTCTCCTTATTGGATCTTTTAGTTGTGTATAATTCTTGGTTTCGTGATATGGTATTGGAGATATGAGTAGGTGAGGTTTGGAACGGACCAGAGCATTAGCAGCAGTTGGTTGTGAGATGGTATGTGTAAAATGGAATCATGGTAATTACTTGGCTCTGCTCATATAGGTTGGCTATATTTGAACCTCAAGGGAAGAATTCTCTTGCCACTTTTTAAGCTTTTTGTTTAGGTTTCCAACATCAATGTGTGACTACTTTATGTCAACATAATCAAGCTTAATTGTAAGCAATACTTCCCACTTTGTACACTCAATTTTTCTGTGTTTCACGGCTTTCTTATCTAACTTTTTTGTTTCTAAATTGCCTCTATTTTGGATATAACTTGCAGTTTAGGCTATGTAATCGACAACTAATGATTTAATCCATGACCTTCGGAAGAACGGTTTGAGTTTACATTTTCCTTATGTCATTAGTTCTTATAAGTAATTTGTTGAGTTCTTATGCTAATGTACGGTCTCTTTTTTCTTTTTTTCCTTTAGTAGTTTGGTCCAAGAAATCATGTGATCATTATTTTTTCTTAAGATCACTAGGTTTATCGATTTAGTTTGCCAATCAAGCATTTAACCTTCGTTTAGTTCCTAATTGAGAGCGTAAGATCATTTGTACAATAATAGTATATGCCTCCGATACTGTGTTAAGATGGAACTGAAATGAGTTTGATGTAATGTCTTTGTTTGGTCCACTTTTATTCAGTGTTCAAGAAGACGCGATTAATCTCTCGCCTAGGCGCGATTAATAGTTTGGCAGGAGGAAATCGCCCAGTCTAGCCTTGGGTGATTGATCTAGGCACCTGGGCACTCGGAGACGCGTTTTCACTTTGGTGGGCGACGCCCAGAACAACTAATAAAGGGGAAATTGTAGTCTTTTTGTGAAAATCCCTAACCCTATTCTATTTCCCATTTCCATTCGACTAGCCGCTCCCCCTCATTGACCACCAGTGAGATCCCTCCTCATGGTTGGCGACTTGGGATGTTTGGGATTGTGGAAAATGGTTGTATGTGTATTTGAAGGATGAATAATGATATGACGACTTGAGTTTTTGTGGAATATGGCTTATATATCATTTTTTATTTACGTTTAATCTCGCCTAGACAAGGACTAATCGGCATGGGTTAGGCGGTGCCTCCTCGCCTAGATAGCGCCTAGCGTCTTCTTGAACATTTCTTTTATTTGGGAGTATTAGTCGTCTTTTTTGTTGTTGGTAAAAACGAGAGCTCAGACGGGCGCTCTAACCCTTAACTATTAATCATATGTAGGATCTGAGTCCCAAGCGCGTCAAAGTACAACCAGTAGTTGAGCATATGACTCGGGTTATCCACAAACTAGATCCCAAAATGAATAGTGTGTCCAAGTGAAGCCAAATAGTCCGCTACATAATTTCTCTCCCAGAACACATGCTCTAGCTGACTTCCCAGTCTCGAGCCAGCAGCTGTCGCACCTCTGCGACTAAAGTATGATGAGGATGACTGGAAGAATCGCCATTGATGAGGGCGAGCGTCGTTGCCGAATCTGTTTGCAGCTGAAGTTGTCGGATCCCTGTGTCCCAAGTCATGCTGAGTCCATGAAAAATCCCCGCCAGTTCAGCATGGATGATCGAGCCACCACCCAGATTGGCCGTAAAAGCTCTCACAAACTGACAGTCTTGTCTGCATAACGCTCCTCCCGCTGCTGAGTTCCCTTGGCTTGTGTTAACAGAGCCATCAGTATTCAAACAGGTCCTTCCCTGCAGAGGTGGTTCCCAGCCAACTAGCCAAGCATCATTTCCACCCGCTCTGTAGCCTCCCCGAGAACCTGCCCAATCCTCCTGGAAGATTGATCAATCTGCACTCGCTTTTGACGGATTTGGTAGGCTAACTGGGTTGCCGACGCCAATAGTCTCTCGAAGACCCAGAGGTTTCTATTTTTCCATAGTTGCCAACAGAAAGTAGCGAAGAGGGATGCGTCTATCGGTCTATGGTATTAATAGTCATCTTTATCACTATGCTTTTCATTTTATTTGTTGCTTCTTATTATAATGATCAACAGATAAGTCAATAAAATATGTGATGCGTTGTCCTATCAATCAATTTGGAATTGTGCAAATTGTTCAAAATAAACACTATTTCAAGAGACATTGTTTTATGCAGGTATAACAGCTCCATTCTCTACTAGCAAAAGCGAAGTCGATCATTTGCCTGGAGGGAGGGAAACATCTTTGGGAATCTTCTTGAAATTCCCCGACTTTTATTGTTGATCATCTGACCTTCCAAAAATAGCGATGAGCATAATGTAATTGTCCATTTTTTTTCAAGAGGATAATAGATTATTACCAACTAATTCACTAATAATTCTTGAGCTTTACGGATGGTATTATTTTTAATTAATTTTCTTTATTATAGTAATTTATTGTTGTAAATTTTCACTTCATAATATTAGTATACGTGTAACTATGAACATAATTGTTGAAAGCGTACTAATATTTGTGGATACTCGAAACCTTATATGTTATGAAATAGGTGGCAGACACAAGGACTGTCGTAAATTTAGCATATGTTATACTATCGAGCTAAAGGCCGAGCACAAAGCTAAGAACAAATTTATAGGCACACAAATTTTTGAAAAAAAAGTTTTTATTTGTTGGTGGCACATATTTGTTATAAATTTTTAGAATCTTTCAAATGACATAGTAGACAAATCTATAAATGTTGACTTTTAGATATCAAAGGCAACACCAAAATCAATTATAAAAAATCCATATTGATTTCCTAAAATCATGAATCTTTTTCAGAAACTTAATTTTCACAACAAATGATTGTATGTTTGAACTATAAAGTGCCTTATTTAATTAAAATTTTGAAGAAATAATTGGAATATTTCAGATATGTCCATTATAATAGTATTGTACTATCCGTACACATTAATGTTAGCTATTAACAACCACAACTGCTTTTGGAGATATATATTTTTTAAAAGTGAATTATTAGTTAATAATTTGTATTTTCTCAATTAGTACCTAATGGTTGTCGACCATAAAATTTGAATCCTTTATTTGATAAATTTTAACCCTCCAAATTACTAATAGGGAAAATCCCTTGGAGTTTATAATTAATACTTCAATGCTTAATTATTTTATTTTCATGGATATAATAGAAAAATAAGTGAATAATATCAAATTTTATGAAGAAATATTTTTGAAGTAATTTATTCTAACAATAGGAAGTGATTTTTTTTCTTAAATGTAAAAAATATATCGACAACAGTAAGCGATAGCATGATCAATACAAATACTCATAAACTAACTAATGTTACAATCAATAATTCGCACAAATATTAGTTTCAACCCATTAATAAATTATTTAGATGATCCCAAATTATTTGAAAATATGAAAAAATTGATTAATATAAAAATATAATAAATAAAACTAAATTCATCCGACCAATGGGTCGGGTAAAAAGCTAATACATTATTATGATGCATCATGCATATGAAAGCTTCAAAGCTTCCATAGTCAATTGCTCGCCCTAACTATCTAATAACTCTATAACTAGTTTTTTTGCAATTATATTATGTTGGTACAACTCTGTGGTAAATTATTTTATCGTTTTGTTAATACTTAATACACAAAAAATATTATGTTGGTTGATGCTTGATTACATAAGTTTAGTTCATTCCTGAATCCTGGCTGGTTGCCTTTCCCCTAGGGATGGCAATGGGTCGGGTTGGGTCGGGTTTTGTCAAACCCAAACCCAAACCCATGGGTTTATCCGCCAAAAAAACCCGGGTAAAACCCGTTGGGTTTGAAAAACTCAAACCCAACCTAACCCGTTGGGTATCCGCGGATTCATGGGTACCCGTGGGTTTTTGTGGTAAAAATTTACAAAAACAAGTTTCTTTCAAAATAAAAGTTTAACGCTCATACAAATTAAACATACAAAAAACACCAATCTAGAGCATACAAGCAAGCGCAAATGATCAATACAAATTATTCAAAATTAAAGATAAACATATATAAACAATAAGATTAATTGAAAACTTCTTCCTCTTCAACTAAGTTTCTTCACTCTCCACTTCATAATATCAACTTCATTCTAAACAATTAGAAAGAACAAATTATACATGTCTCCACAAACATATATAATATTAGTTGTTTAAGAAATATATATTATTTAGGATATTAAATATACCGAGAAAGTAATTATATGTGTGCGGGCGGGTACCCATGGGGCGGGTTTACCTAAACCCAAACCCAACCCGACCCGGTGAATAATGTAGCGGGTTTAAACCCGAACCCGGCCCAAAACCCGTCAACACGGATTTTACCCGCATTGACCGGGTTGGATCGGATGAGTACCCGTGGGTTCGGGTTTTGTTGCCATCCCTACAGTTTCCCCCTTTCTCGAGTGAGTATATTTGGGAATGGACGGATAACTTTTCCCTCAAATGCAAAACGGCATGGCGTTTGTTGAAGATAGCTGCCCTAACATATAAAACTCCGATAAATTGGCGCTCTACTGTAGTTCTGCCCATCGGCACTTCTTCTCACGCTTTCAACTATCAGACTCGCAAGTCTCACTAGAAGCAGAACTGTATCCCGTCAACTGCCGCTCCGCCTCCGTCCCGCGCCGAGATTTCTAATAATGCCAGGCGAAACTGAAGCTGTGTCACTTTCCGGAACTCCTACCACGGCGGAGCTGGCGGCGGTTAGTAACGAGGAGGAGACGCGGATCCTCAGCGACGCCATTCGGTCTTTGCCTCCTCAAGCCGTCAAGGACTTGTTGAACTCCGAGGTTTGTTTCCACTCTTTCCGAGATTTCAACCTCCTATTAGAAGCTCGATTGAGTGGTTTCTTTGTTCGCCCGCCATGGCTAGTTAGATTCCAGGTCGCGTTGTGTTGTTCTGGCAGTAGTTTGCATTATTGCATACTAGGTGTTTGATATGTTGACAGAGTATAGAATTTGCGACTGTCGAATATTCTTTTTGAAGGTTCATTGTTTTCACCCTCCGGTATCCGTGTTTTTTCCTTCTTCTGGTTGCTGAGTTCGTCCCTGTTTGATTCCTTTGGCGATCATGGACACAAACTGCCAAAGCCGAGAAGCCTAGGGAAATTTCATGATTGCCGTGCTTTCTTATCGTCAATTTTGCAACCTCGATTAGTGTCGAGTGCAGTTTATACAGTGAATCCGTCCTCGTTTCATGTAATGTTCATAAGCTCTCTTTCTTATTTGCTTCTCCTTTTTCGTTCCAGGTTTGTATCGGATGCATACTCAGGCTGTTTGGATTCAGAGAACATTTTCACTTCCGTTCTTCTATCTCGAGTTCTATGTTGCATTCTGTTCTTGGAGAGTCTGAACATCTGGAACATTACGGGATACTTGCTGGCTCCAAATCAGGAGAGGAATTAGAAGTTCAGCAGATAGTGTGCAGGATGTGTTTAGGCATTTTGCAGTACTTATATCGCAATGATAAGGGCATATTGGTGCAAAAGCTAAGTGCAGACGGCTTAGCTGCTTATGTTGATGAAATGATAAAGCAAGATGGCCATGAGATCGACGGCTTCTCCCTTGAACTGTCCGTACCACCTGTCCTCTCGGAACATGACAATGCAGTATGGTAAGAGCCGTTTTGTTTTACTCAGTGACTCCAAAATTTTGATATTGTTGTATTGAATTCAAACTACTATGTTTTTGTAGTCTGCTGTATTTTTAGATTATTGAATAACTAGCTAGCTCTTTCTAGAGTAGGCATTGCTATGTGAATAATAGTAAGCAATAACGATCCATTTTCAAGCTGAAGTTGTTTAAGTCGGTTATATTTTCTATTGCTCTGTGTTGTCGTGATTTTGTGTGTTACTTTCTGGTTCCATGTACTGTAGGTCGTATATGAAGAAGAAATACGGACAGGAAGTTGGGATTGCAGAAGAGACTTCAAAATGTGTTTCTGTGAAGGATGCCTTAAAATTGGCAATAACATATCCCCTTGAAAATATGTTGGTAAGTACAACTTCATTATACTGAATTTAGTGCGAAAATTGCATCTCAGTGCAAAACTGTGATAAGCGTTGATACTCCTGTTAATTCTTTATCTAATTGAAGCTTTGCAGGATGTTAAATCCAGCTCCATTCCAAGCTCTTTCCGCATTCGGCTAACCTATAGTCAAACGAAGCCATCATCCTCTATGGCTAAATCTCCAGGAGAAACGAATGAATCTTGCAAGAGAAGAAAAACAGGTATGTTAACTTGTGCATTTGTGTATGACAATTGACATCGAGTTCATCTTGCTAGGCAACTAACACCAATCACTTCAGGTCATAGTTCAGCATATTTGTCAACTAATAAATTTAAGTCGGCTTATAGTCATTACGGCTGCACGTAGTAGTATCCCTGTCCATATGAATGATGTTAGTATGAGTTTTTCAGTGCTAGTAAGCTGTTCTTTCTGCTTTTGTTTCTTTGAAGCTGATATGAATGGAGTACCTGTGAGGTCTTCTAACTTCTCTGGTGATCAGAAGTCCTCAGAGCCTTGCAACTTCCCTTTAGAGAAGGTAGTTCCCTACTCTTTCTGAAAGAACTAGATTTCTGTTTTTAGTGACAAGTGCTGATGTCAATGAATTCTATATTTTGCATAGAGGTTGCCTGTTCATGTTGTCTTTTATATGACTCTCTTACTGAATTTTTCGATCATACCTTTAAAGGTCAATGAACCCTACTACCTGGCTCTTGTTTGCTGCCGAACACCTATCTACATTGGTGGGAGATACCTCAAGGTGTGTATAGTAGTAGTAGCTTAAGTCACATGACGATATTGAAATTGGATTACTGCTGTCTGCTAGAATGAAGGATTGCTTCCTTTCATGCAGTTCTCAAGAAATGTTAGTCAAACTCGCTGGATTATTGACGATGAAAGAAAAGGAGAATCATCTGTCGAGGTACTTGTACCCAGGATTGCTACAGAAAATGTCTTTACTACAATGATGACATAGATCAACACTTTCAAGATTTTATTATGTAGGAAATAATAGGAAGCAACATTCTTCCAGCTTGTCAAGGTGACAGTTACAAGTTTCATGCTGCTGGCAGAGAGGATATTGATGTACTAGAAATCTCTCTTTAACTATCTCTATGTCTCGTCTCCTTTTCTTGTTCCAGTTTCGCCTGATCCTATATATTTATTTCTTCTTTCCAGGTGCGGATGTTGGGTTCAGGCAGACCTTTCATGGTTGAAGTACAAAATGCGCGGAGAGTTCCCTCAGAGGCTATTATCAAAGAAACAGAAACAAAAATAAACAGCTTGGAGGAAAAATTGGTAAGTTCTCATATTATCGTTTTCTTACCTCATTTGCTTCAGCGTCAAATGTGAAACCGTCTTGTGCATGTGTAGGTTGCTGTGAAAAATCTTAAACTGGAAGTCAATAATGGTTGGGGCTTAATGCACGAAGGAGAATCCGAAAAACAGGTCTTGTTTTCTTTGGCTTCCTCTTTACTTTTTCCTCTATTGTGAGACCTTACTCTCTTATTCGTTTCATCCAGAAACAATACTGCTCTTTAGTGTGGATTTCACGCACACTTGAGGACGAAGACGTGCAGAACATAACTGCATCGAAGGATATGGTGATTTTTACACCGTCCCTTTTCACTTTAGCGAACACCTTGGTCATGTTTTCTTGACTGGTGATTTGTTGTTCGTGCAGAAAGTTTTGCAAAGGACACCAATAAGGGTTCTCCATCGGCGAAGTCCTTTAGAACGAGAAAAGATCATACACTGGTTGTTAAAATTTTAAGATTTTTTGAAGTTATTAATATTTCATTAGCTCTAAGCTTCTGTCTCCACTATCTGATCTCATCTTGTTATGCTAATGAATTAACGGGCCTTTCCCCTTCTCTTAATGTTGCAGGATGAAAGTCGAGAGGGTTGCTGGGAGCTCTCAATATTTCCTGTTGCATTTGTGCACTCAGGTACCCTTTAATTCCCCCCCTTTGGCAACTCATACCTTGATGCTTGTTCTTTTTCGAACTAATATGAAAAATGGAGCATCCGACTATGTAAGTCATTAAATTAGTGATATACATGCTGCATTGATACACCCATCTTTCTGCCTAAAAGAAGTAAATCAGAATCATTGTTTCCATACTGCATCTCTAGTTTTCTACAGGAGAATAATTGTATCACAAAACTGCTCGAATGGTTTCCACTTTGATCATTGAAGCATCTATCAGAGGCTGTGTCGTCATGAAAATGTCTTTGTGATTAAGCTTAACCGGAATATACTTGTTGAACAGGCTGGGACGTACATAAAAGAATTTGTTCACGGAGATTTTGGTCGCACCAATCCGAGGTAAGAAGCAAAATGAACATGCTCCTCTCATGTCAGACTTCCCATTTCTCGCAGTATACGTTCTATGCAAATGCAAATGCAAATGCGAACGTCTATATCTGCCTTCCCAATTGATGCTGGCTTCTGCTGATCTGGAAGTCCCTCTTGTATTTTGTGACAGCATTGGGTCGATTTTAGGATGCAGAGCCGAAATACTGCAATTGGATGTTACAGACGTGAAGATGGACGGTTTCTGATTTCCGTTGTGGCCATTGACTAAAAAGCGGTATTTTCAACTCAATTTTAGAGCCTAATTTTTGGTTCCGGGTTCTTCTTCAGGCTGCATCTTTCAAATGCAACCACACAACTATTCAAGCTTTCTGCATAAAGCTTGCATTGAAATTTGGAAGTACACTTTTCACCTTAGTTACTTGTATGATTTATTGTCAGCTCGTAATAGTTTTCTATTAGTTAGGATAGGAATCTAGTATGGTTACGATAACCTCGATATTCTAGTGCTAGAGTACTCTCAACTTCAGTGAGGAAATTTTCACATTGACGATTGCGTTGAGAACTATTGTTGCCGCTACGCTTACGCTCTTGATATTCTTTGGGAACAATTTTTTCTTCTTGTGTTGGTCATCTTATCCAATCCAAGTCATGAAGCTCACATTGTGTCCATCCATTGTGTTCGGATTAGGGTTGCAAATGAGCCGAGCTGCTCGCGAGCGGCTCGGCGTTCGACTCGAGAAAAGCTCGTTCAAAACTCGACTTGTTAATAAACCAGCCGAACACAAGCTCACCTTTGTTCAGCTCGTGAAGTTCGCGAGCTAGCTCGACTCGGTGGCTTGTTTAGCTAAACTCGTGAGCTGACTCGTTTAGGGCTCATGATATGTCTTAACATGTGGCTAGAGAGCCAACTCGATTACCAACTTATGAATGAATCAATCTATATCTTATGATTTTAATTCATATGCTTGTTAAATTATTTATCTCACCATATATAAAGTTTAACATGTTGAGTATGTGAGCAAATATATCTTATTTTCTATTTTAAAAAGAAATTATGCATCATAGATTGCTTCAATACTATGAAATAACATGATTTGGAGCAGTTATAATGTATTAACTAAATGAATATGATACCAACAAAGTATAATATGAGATTAGCTAACGAAATAAATCATATGTATCATGATATACAAAATGAAGTACCAAATAAAATTTAAGATTTTAATAAACAAGCTAGCTCGACTCGACTCGGCTCGTTAATAAACAAGCTGAGCTCGAGCTCGACTTGTTTTTTTTTATTTTTTATAAGGGTGATATAGATTTCATTTTGTTGTCATTAAGGTACTATTTAAGGGATTCGAACCTGGGTCCTCCAGATTCTAGGTTAGTGGTATTACCACTAGGCCAAGCCCTTGTTCGTGAGCTCGACTCGTTTATTAACGAGCCGAGCTCAAGCTGGAGTAAAACTCGACTCGGCTCATTTGCAGCCCTAGTTCGGATGGAGAGTTCTAGTGAATCAATTTGATCTATTTAGGAACATAAATTTGAATAAATCAATTTGATCGGGAGAATTTTAAAACAATCCATTTTGAGACAATTCTGATTGTTTAGAAATTAGAAAGCTTATGATTTGAATTTGCGGACTACAAGTACTTTAGCATTTAAAATAAGGCAATTAATCAACTCATTTCGTTTCTCATTTGTAATTTGTTCCATCCAATCAGGTATAATCAATGTAATCAAAATCGCGCTTTAAAACTTACTATTTTACGCTTCTAGGTCATTAAAACGCTTCTACACAAAATCTCAGTTTTTAAAACTTATGTAGTTAAAACTCCGTTTTAAAACTTAAAAACTTACGATTTGACGCTTCTAGATCACTGAAACGTTTCTACATAGAGACTCAATTTTGACTACATTGTTATAATCTATATAACCGGACTGAGGAGCTCTCTGGTATTGGCAAGTATTCATTATAAGGGATAAGATTTCGAATAATCATCCATTGTATGCAATCAGGTATAACAAGTTGCGCTTCACCTAATATAATAATGATAATAATGTAACAAGTTGTACAATCATTTCCTTGTTGGCGCCCACCACGGCCATAAATGTTCTAAAAACCAGAGCATTTACCATATCTTACAAGGAGAGCCTAAAAAAAAAAAGCTACCGTTCCGATGGCATAATCCAAACGGTTCCATCAACGGAATAAACACCAAGTGGAAAACTCTGATCGAGATGCCGCTCTCCTTCGTGTTTCTAATTCTACTCAGTCCACGTTGCATTCACCACCTTCGCCATGAACCCGTACCGATCCGCCGATTCATCAATCTGCCACCAAAGACAACAATGAATCAAGGCGTCGGTGTCGATCGATCAGCAAGAAGAAATCTGAATCAAAACTTTTTCATACCATTTTCTGAGTCGGACGGCCGGCGCCATGGCCGGACTTCCGGTCGATCCGGCCGATGATCGGGTTGGTCTGCGGACTGTTGTCCAAGCTGGTGCACAGAACATGCTGCAACGTCTGCAAAAGAATAAGGGTACCATAAACAGGTGATCGAAGAGTATAAGGAATCTTTCCGATACGAGGATTGATGGTGGGATCGTCAACTCACCGCCAACAGCTTGAGAGAGTGTAATGGAACAACCCGATCGTCGTGATCGGCGGTCAGCAACATGGTCGGAGGGTACTGAACATCGGGGCTCACTTCCCATGGTCTCCTCACATTGTGCAGTGGAGAGTACCTGAAAAAAAAAGTTGCAGAGCAACACAGCCATGGAAATATCGAATCTAAGTTTTGATCCAGCGTCCAGGTATGAAGCTAGTATTAGGATTTTGTTCGTTTGTTTTAGTAGGGTGCTGGCATAGTCCGAGACGGTCTGGAACCAAACCAAATCGGTGTATAATCATATCGAACATAAAGAAACAGTGTTTACTATTAGCGGATCAAATGCACTTACTTGATCAGCCAATGGAACTCTTCCTCTTTGTCCGAACAGCCATAGTCAGTAGTCCAAGCATGCCCTGTAGGAAAAAAAGAAGTGTTCCACTCGCATAAATGGAGATAGTGGTCGCTACTTGCTATTGCTAAGATGAGATAAAGCTCCTTACCAATTGTGAACTTGTGAAATCGTAGCATGTCCATGACGCCAACATGAGCCAGCGCACAACCAAACAAATCTGGCCTCTGATAACCAGAAAAAAATAATCTCAAAACACCTCGTGCTTGAATTTAGACAACTAGGGGCCGGATCAAAGTAACTAATTCTTACCTGATTCATGCAGGCTCCGACGAGGAGGCCACCGTTGCTCCCACCTTCAATGCATAGCTTCTTCGGCTGAGTATAGCCTTCTGACACAAGGTACTCACCGGCAGAGATGAAGTCATCGAAGACGTTCTGCTTACTGCCTAGTGACCCTGCTTTGTGCCATTCCTCGCCGTACTCTCCACCGCCGCGGATGTTGGCGATGCAGAAGACGACGCCCAAATGTTTGGCGAGTGTTACCCGGGTCACACTGAATGACGGAGTGATGCTGATGTTGAATCCACCGTATCCGTACAGCAAGCATGGGTTTGATCCATCCAGTTTTATGTCCTTCTTCGACCCAATGAAGATTGGGAACTTGTTGCCATCTTTGCTAGTAACGAAAACCTGAAGCCAAAATGAGTAGGAGCAGGTAATCAACACACTCTATATTTCAATTTTGCAGCATCATATATCTTAATTTTGCAGCCTTCGAAGTTTGTGGCAGCTATAGTTTAATGCGTGCAGAAATCTAATCCAGCCAAGCTGAAAGAATAAGAGGAAAAGAACTAACTCACCTGCTTCACTTGGAACTCTGAGCGATCGAATCCAGGTACATTGGTCTCCCGAAATACCTTCATTTCCGGATCCCCAGATCCGAAATCACATTGGTATGTAATCCCGGGGGAAAGAAAGCTCGTAAATCCTATAAATGCTACACTATCCTGTCTCCTTGCAGATACCCGAGTCACAGTACCTATATCAATAGGCAGTTGATGCAGGAAGGAACCCGTCTTTAGGTCCCTGATCTCCAACACATTCTTGACATCACTCAGGTAACTAAGTATCAATTTCTCCCCGTTGACCACATCTGCTGACTCTAGTACATCCTTCTCGGATTCCGGGACAACATCTGTCCATGAACTCGGGTCATTCAAGTCCACTCGGACTAGCTTATACCTAGGAGCATCCTTATTTGTCAAGAAAGTGAATGTGGTGCCATCATTTGCTACCGGTTCATACTGAGCATCGAAGTTATCCACAAGCTTAGTGAAAGGGAGAAGTTTGTTTGATCCCTTAAAACCTTCTAGTCCTCCAGGAAGTGTAGAGATATCACAGTAGTATATTTTGTTGACTGGATCACACCCCTCGCTGATATGTAGAAGAACATGCTGCATGAACATCATACCAACTAAGTCATCAGTAATTCCAACTGCAATAAAACAGTGTCGTGACGGGCTAAATACCAATTTGGTTACCAAACTCGTCTGTGTGATTTGGGTCATGTCAGTTAAAAACTGGTTTGGACACCATGTGTATCACAATAAGCATTGAACTTGGTATTGAGATAACTAAGACATCAAATTTGCCCAAATAAATTGCCAAAAGCATTTTTCGTTGCCTTAGTTGGTCTCTGTCATCATTTTGCTGATGTGACAGCTTTCAATTCTAGTGAAGGTTAAACTGAAAAATGAAAATGCTAATGGTAAGTTATTAGGTTGAGGTTGGTGTTCAAGTTATCTCAATGCTGAATTGCATTTCCAATGTTATAAACATAGACGAATTTGTTGACCAAATTGGTGTTTGAACCTGGACATATCCCCCTGTCCAAAGCACACAGCAAAAGAAAATATACCTTTCCATCGTCTGCCACTGATGCACCGAAGAAGTGCTTGGGGTTTTCTTGATCTTTCCAACACAGAATGTCCTCGGATTGATCTGTACCCAAGAAATGGTAATATGATTCTTGATATAGATTGATATTGGTCTCTGTCCCAGCATCTAACTTCTCCCCATCTCTGCACAAGAAACTTGGAGCATCAGCTCATAACCCTAATCCGAGCAACATCCTTCATTCAATAATTTTCCCTTCTGAAAATGAACATTATCCTTTTTCCTCTTCATCCAATCCTGACGTTTTGAGTCTAGATTTTACACTAGAACCCAGTTAGAATGAATGTGCTTTTCAATATGCTAGCATACGATGAAACTCCAGGTTAGATATCCATCCTTCAATCCTTTTCAATACACTGGCACTATGAAACACTCCCTGGTTAGAATTTCCATTTCCCTGAATCAGCTAAACTATTCAAATATCATACAACACTAGAACCCTTCTACAAACCAAGAGGAATACAAGAGATGTGAGAGTTTACTTGGGAGCAGGGTAACGGCTATAGAAGAACCCTTTGCTATCATGCGTCCAACTGATCCCAGTAAACTTTGCCTGAAAAGCACAAGTATTCAGAGCTCATAGAACCACTGAGAACAGCCACGGACATTTAAAGCTGTAATCTCACCCATGATATCGTGTCTTCCTCAACTCTCTTGTCCTCAACTCGCATGACCTTGATTGTTATCCAATCGCTCCCGCTCGAGCTAACCCCGTAGGCCAAGTACTTGCCATCCTCGCTCACCGAAAGATTTCCCAGCGCCACAGTGCCATCCTCGCTCAGCGTATTCGGATCAAGCAACACCTCCGGCTCCCCTTCCAAGCCATCCTGTTTCGATCATTTGAAACCAAAGCTTAGATATCCCATGCTCATTCTCCCTATCCATATCACAGTTCCATCATTTCCCCTCTCTCTCAAATAGTCACCTGAACGTAGAGAACGCTCTGGGCCTGGAGCCCGGTGTTGTGGAAGTAGAAGTACATGTCCCCACGCTTGGACGGCGCTTCGTAGCGGGGATGGTCGAACAGCTTGGTAATCTTCTCCTTGAGCTTCTCCCTCGCATCGCAGGTCTTCAGCACGGAATCCGTCAGCTTCACCTGCTCTTCCACGAACGCCTTGGTCTCCTCCGAATCAGGATCCTCCAGCCTACCACCACAAAAAACCACACAAATAAGTTTTTGTTTCCCTTCTCAGCCGCATTTCCTCAAACAGGTAGAATGCAGCACCCAAAAAAAAAAAACCTCGATTCGTTACCATCGGTAAGGATCGGAGACCTTGACGCCGTGGTAATCCTCGACGACGGACTCGTCCCTGCGCGCGGGAGGATACGGCAGTAATCCGCCGGCGGGAGCGGAGAGGGAGCCCATTGTTGATGGCGGTGACGTTAGGAGGGGAGAAGCGGAGAGAGAGGAGAAAGGACGAGGAGGAGAAGGTTTTTGGTGGTTGTTGGTTGGTGGGATTGGAAAGGAGGGAGAGTTTGAATATAAGGAGACTTGTTGGGCGGAGAGACGGAGACGGCGAGCGAGGCGTAGTGGCGGTGAAAACGAAAGAGGATTGGCGGAGGAGGGAAGGAGGATAATTAAAGGTGTGCAGCAGCGATGGTATAAGGATGAGAACATTGTGACGTGAGGAGATTTTTGGTAAGCCGAAGAGGAAAACTAATGGACAACGGTCTCGTCATTTCTTTGCTTGTTTGGACTTGTTTCCATTTGGTAACTCAGTGACAAATGGACTAGGAGTGGACAACGGGAAACGTATTTGGATATACCCAAATTCGTCCCATTTTTTGAGGTTACAGGTACTCAAATACCCGTTATATTTGTTGCGGGATGGGACTTGAGATTAAGAATCTCAATATCGGGTACCCGCGGGTTGCCCACTAATACCCGTTTGGGTAGTTTGGGTACCCGTATTACCTATTAAAATTTATTAAATTTCATTTAGACATTTAGTCCAAAACTGAAACCCAGTTCCCATCCCAAGATCCGAGCTCAGCTCAAGCCCAGTCGCTAGTCCAAGCCCAGGCCTTGGGCGACTACTTGGCTTCTGTTGGTTGCCCGCAAATCACAAATTAGTGACCGCTTCTTGTTCTCCTTGACGCAGTTGGTCGGGAGGTAGCTGGGAATTTTTTCATTTGTGTGCGCAAGAGACAGTAGCTTCTTAGCCTTGTTATTTTGTACTTCAAATTTTATTTTCATTTTCAAGGACAAGTAGACAGTAGCTATATTATTATGTCTTATACCATACAGACAGTAGCCCTATTTTTAATGCTTATTTTATTTTGTTTCAAGTATAATATTGTTATTTTGTTCCATGTGTAATTTTATAAATTTCCCATGTTAAATGGGTATTAACGGGTAGTTTGGGTACCCATTATCCGTCCCGTACGGGTTAACGGGTACCTGTTACCCTTTCGGGTTTGGGATATGGGATGAGCTTTGCCCTCCAAACAGGAATGGGTACCCGTTTCAAACGGGACGGGTACCCAATATCGTCCTGTTTTCCACCCCTAAAATGACCCTATAGAAAAGATTGTTAGTTACTTTACCTCATTTGGTTAGTTATTAGGGTTTTTGGCGAACATTTTTTTATGACGGAACGGGACCAAACCCGCAACAGTCAGTCAGACGCCTCTGGGATCATCACATGGGACTTTGAGGGGCATCAGATTTAGGTAGGGGTGATAATGGGTCGGGTTGGTACGGGTTATGCCAAACCCAAACTCAAATTTATGGGTTTATCCATAAAAAAAATCCGGGGTAAAACCCTCTGGATTAGGAAAACTCAAATTCAATCCAACTGCTGGGTATCTGCGGGTTCATGGGTACCCATAGGTTCATGTACAAAGATGTACAGACACACTAACTCACAAATCATTCATACAATTGTTCAATATTAAAGATAAACATCCACAAACAATATGATTAATTAAAGTTGTCAGTAATTAGTTTAGAAATTATAGTTAATTAGTTAAGGGTTTTGAGGGTCGTGGGAGTATGGACTTGGGTGCAAGTATCCACGGGTTGGATATGGCTAAACTCAAACTCAACCCAACCCAGTATAACGAGTTAAAGCCAAACCCGACCCGCAATCCTTTAAAGAGGGTTTTACTCGCATTGACCAGGTTTGGTCGGGTAGGCTACCTGCAAATTTGAGTTCTACTGTCATCCCGCACGACCTACCCCACGACGGCACTGCTAAATTGTCTTACCATTAAGAGGTACAAGTATCTTGGTTGGGGTTTGACGTTGCATCCCGTTGTGATGTTGACCAATAATTAGGGTGTTGATGATTGTAATATTTGATGCACCTCTAAAAGTTGTAATGAAAACATTTGTTGTAATTGCAAGCAGTGAAAAACAGAACTTGCGTACTTTATAAGTTATATCTTCGTGTTTGTTTGATTCGACGGCTAACATCCTAAAACTTCCTTCTGCATAGACAGACTGTGCGTGTTGGTGGTTGCACCTACAAAGATTGCATAAAGTGTTACGACCAGCATCTCCAACAATGAAATTTAATTGCAATTTTATTAATGGTCCCTACTTCCACATCTACAACTTTAAGATAATACCACCTCTCAATTTCATCCTACCTATATCAATAGAATTCAGTTGCAATTTCAATGAGTGAGACCAACATATTGATTTAATACAACTAAACCATTTATTGCTATTTTCTTAATTTGTAAAACCCTTAAAATATATGTTAAAGAATACAAAAGGACCCACCCGTGGGCCCATTTCAATTGCAAGCAAATTTGCACATTTGCAATGACACCCCACATCAATGCAATTCAAAGTTGCAATTGCAACCCCTTGTCACTATAATTGCAAGTCACTATAAATGCATATGGTCAGTATATCTTTTCCTACATGGATTGCGACTGTCAAACCAATTCTTGAGCGTGTTTTATGATTCATTTGAACTTTTTATTTAAATGTTAAAGTTGTTTTCTATCTAATGACTTTTAGTCATCTCTTATAAGCATGTTCACTACTCATCTTATTTTGAATCAATGAGTCTATGAAATGCCATTCAATTTGGTGAGGATAGTGCAGTGACTATGATGAATGCGATAGTTGAGATGAATTGAAATTATATTAGGATTTAAGAACATATTGACCCTCTATTTAATTCGGACATTAATTTTTTTAATCTGACGGTCATTAACTTAATTAGTATGATGCTAACCCCTTAAGAGGTTAGCAACTTAACTCATTCCGACACGAAGTCCATACCAGTTATTAATTCCTATGAAGTGGGATTCGACTATTTGAAATGAGAGTCTCATTTTCCAATTTTATCATTATATTATGTGTAGATTTGTCATACAAAAAAAAAACGATTATGCTCGTCACAAAGGTCCATGTTTTGGTTACACTTCTGTATTTTTTCTGAACTAAACAACACATACAATCTAATATTAATGTTTGAATCAATACTACTTGAGTTCCAATTTCAGAACTAATATCTTTCTATAAAATATAAATAACTTAAGATAAAATATAAATATAAATGTAGAAGCATCATCACCAAACATATTGCTAGAGTTCAATAAAAAAAAATAACAATGAATAAAATGTAGCCTAGTTCTTATAATGCTATTTCTTCATTCAAGTGGTCAAGGTTCGAACTCCAATGATAACATTTTTAATATATAAACATGAACTGAGTGCAATGACAAAAATGACCTTCCTAGAATCACTCTCAGGTCACGAAATTTGAAATGGGAGAATTCCAACCTATGTTTTGCCTTTATATATTGTGTCGACTACTCCAACGATCATCGTTCTCACTGGAAATCAAACTCAGGACCTTGTCCGAAAAGCTCTACCCGCTAGGCTATCCTTGTTTGGCAAAACATCACCCTTTTGATAGGTTGTTTCGTCCTTTACATTTTCCGACTTCTATGGTTGCCGTCGCTTTACACTTGGAATAACAACAGCCAACACTAATACGTCTTGCCCGAGATAAAGAATGTTATCCTCTCCTTCAATCAATTCCTCCTCGTTGCCGTTTACTAGATTTTTTGTAGCCCAATGTGGACCTTTGGCGTGGGATAATTTGCCTTCCAAGTAGTAGCCCTTGTTTGAATCGTTGATGCCGATGTTGGAGGAGATAGTAAGTTTACGGATCCTCCTCGAGTTACACGGTTGTGTTGGCGATTCGAGGGTATCATTTTCATATACTTCAAAATCAAATATGGTTTTTTCTAGACCTTTAAGTTCATTTTTACCAAAATGATAATGTAGATATATTATCTCGATCTGAAAAATCGGTGTGTGATTTGAATTATTATCAATAATCATTTATAAGAAAACAAATCTTGCTTTTGTTTTGTCGAATTCCAATGGGTTGCCACAATGATAATATAGAAACAAAAATATTCATCACACACTTTGTGATCCCATTTTATTTGGATATAGTCACATATGTGAAAACTAAAATCACGATTTTTCTAGGTAAAATTATGATGGGTTGTATCTAGCACAATGACGCTTCGCATTTCATGGTATAGTTTCATTATCGATATGAAAAAGAAATATGGATTCCGTCTTGTCAAATCTCAATAGATAATGTCCATCACACTCCATGGTTCAATTTTACCATCACCGCCCACCTAGATGAAAAACAAAAATTGATTTTAGCTATGTTGACTAGTCATTGATGATGTCCAATACTAGAAGATAACTCTTCTACATATTCTCATGTTTAAAATCAAACCAAACACAATTTATCAAATTTAAATAATCACTTTATACTTCTTGTTCGAACCTTACACAAACTAATTGATTTGAACATCAACCCATCTAATGGTGAATAATAATAGCTTGGGGGGAGCATCGTAAGCGTCTCCCAATTAAAAAAAATGGGAGGAGCTCTGCCCTCTCTCCTCCGTCTTGGGCGAGAGCTTGGGCGTCTCCTGATCTCTCTAATCCATGCTATTTTTCTTCGATGTCTGCGAAATCAGTATCCCATGAGGGATTGGAAGCACAGTGCGCAGCTTGGAGTCTCGTTTTTTTCAAGACAATGAAGAATCAGAGCTTGAGGAGCCCCCTGTTGGGCACAGGCGAAGTTACGATGGCCATCACTGATTTGGATTTTCCTGTAGAGGAGACCGGCATCCAAAAGATTGGCAAATGAAACGGAAGCTTGGGCTTGTCCTGGCAGAGAACAAAGTTCTCGAGTCCTCCAAACGTCGGCGACTATCATTAAGGGTTGCCTGGAGGTTTGTAATCCCTTCCATGGAAGAGCTGGCATGTGAAAAACCGGAGCAGATGGTAGTAGAATCCAGGTTGATACTTGCTCCGCCTCTGATCGACGGTGATGCGAGACCCATGGATAATTCTTTGCTCGATGAAGGGGCGAGGTCCCTGTTGGACTTGCAAAAGCCCGTCGAGGATCTTCTGGCCGAATCGCCGAATCGAAATGCAATCAATTCTAATGAAGCCCCCGAGGCAGCGCCACCGTCCGTCACCGAGACCGGTGACCTGATTTACCCAATTGATACTCACCTCAATCGGGTCCGTGATCGGCGGGTGGTGGTTAGGGAAATATTTCCCCAATATCTGATCCCTGATTTTGTTGGGATTTTTCGAAAGACAAATAAATTTGAAAATTTGGAAACGAGGAGTCCTTCTTCGCGACTAACTCGAAATCCCAATTCGGTTAAAGGGAATCTTGGGAGCAGTTTGGATTACCCCTATAAAACTTTGTACCCTTGGCCATCGATTCTCACTTCATCCTCCTTGAGAACACGGCTGACGGCGCAAGTGGTGGGCAAATCTTCTTCTCCCAGGCAGCTCCCGGACACAGGTAAAACTTTCTGCTCCCCGTTCTTTCCTTGGAAGCCACAGCTACTGGCCTTCCCTTCCTCTGCCTCCTCGTTCCGACAGGGATTGGGAACTCCTCTTTCTGATCATTCCCTGGCACCACGGTTTGAAAGTAGGCCAATAAAAGGCACGAATGTGCCTGAACCTCTGCAAGAGGCTAATACTAATATGATGCTTCACTCCTCTGCCTTGCAGGTTATCACCATGGCAAATGTTTCGATTGATCAGGTGGTCCAGTTCTCGATGGAGGAGGTGCAATCAACAAAGTATCGAGCTGCGCACTCACTCCTTGGCAGGTTCTTTACCGAAAATAGGGTATCGACGACGGAGCTGAGGGAATCGGTTGATCACCCCCTGGTTGATTCAGGGACGAATCAGGGTTGTTTTGGCGAAACATGGTCTAATTGAGTTCATGTTACCCAGTGAGGAGGCGAAGACATGGGTTCTCAAACGTACCCCATGGGTGATCAATGACAAGATCCTCCATCTTCGAGCATGGACTCCAATCATCACGAAACAAATCTATGAGGAGCTAGCAATTGCGCCATTCCGCGTCCAATTGTGGAATGTTAAGGAAGACTGTTGCACACACCAGTTCGGCAGAAAAGTGGTGAATGCCACAATTGGAAAAGTCTTGGAATCAGGCGTTTTTGCTTGTCAGGAGACGGGTAGCTGGTTCATGAAGGTTAAGACGCTCATAGATTTTTCCAAACCTCTAAGGTCTCAGATTATGGCAGCAAATGATGACACTAGTTGCTTCTGGGTGAGTTTGAAATATGAGCACCTTCCTAGCTTCTGTTTTCATTGTGGTCGAGTGGGACACTCAAATCGAGCCTGCAACTATGATCCCCCGGCTCGAAAAGAGAAATTCGGTCCCCATATGGCTACCAAGAATTTGGGGACTCGAATATATGACAATGATGACCAAATCCAAACCCTCCCCCGAGGAGGGAATTCGGTTTGGGTTAACAGAGACTTTAGACAGAAGGGGACTGGCAATCTTGGTCCAGGTTCGCGGGGTCAGCAGGGGGGAAATTACCAAGCCCAGCCATTCCGCCATTCTCAATACCCAACGGCGGCAACCTCAGTGGCGACAATGGCATGGAACCGACGAAGGAGCCCGCGCGGCTTCAAGATCTCTCGGTCGCCGGTGGTGCACTTGAGCCGGTCCTGGAGCTCGCACTCCCATACTGGGGCTCTTAATGACGAGCTGAGTGCTAGCCGCAGTCTGGAACAGATCGGGGAACGAGAGGCTGCTGGTGAGGCGATTGAGCGAGGGATCTCTTCCTGACCTCGGATGCTGGGGAGTGAGGGCCAGGTGCGTCACTCTGAAAGCCCTGCTGCATGGAGTTCAGCCTTCCTAAGGCGGAGCTGGGTGCAAAAATTTCCTCTCAGGAAGCTCGCCGACGCAAATTGATACTTGATGATTCAGAGGATGAATCTCCTCTACCTCAGCTGCCGCCGAAAGGGATAGAAGAGAGTGTGGATGGGAGGAAGAAGGGGAAAAGGCTGGTCAAGAAAGGGTTGATTTCGGAGGGGATGGGGAAGGCCTCGGCCCGTAAAAGCTCAATGAGAAAAGAGAAAGGGTCTTCCTCGGCCCGACCCGAGAAGGCTGCAGGAAGCCCGATGAAACAGCGAAAGGCAAAGGGCCGCAAGAACCAGGCCTTGGCCCACTTGCCTAAGGGGAAGGGGGGTTGGCTGGGCAGGTGGGCTCTCTAGGCAAAGTGGCAGGCCGACAAACCCATGGGCCCAAACTCCAGGATGTGGCCCAGGTGGTGGAGGAGGGTCCCAAACAGAATGTTCAACCTGCTTCAATTGACTCTTCTTCGGAGGAGGAAAATCTCCAATTTGAGATAAAGAGTAGGAAGCCGCTAGCGGTCCCTCCCAAGCAGAACCTCCCAGGGAAAGTTCGAGGCTAGTATGACAATTAATGACGAAAAGGATATGGCTCAGGAGGAAGAAGGGAAGATGATTTCAAAGCTCAACGAATACGGGTCTAACCTTGATAATGAGACTCGTAATCTGGAGAATGAGAATCGTAAACGGTTGTTTGAGGAGCTGGAGGGTGGTATTGGGGCGAGTCCCACGCCCAAAAAACAGTTTGTGGAGGAACAAGACACTATTGAAAAGGTGGAGGTAGCCAGCCATGAGTGGCCCCAGTTAGATAAATGAGGCTTCTTGCCTAGAATGTGAGAGGAATTGGACCATCCCTCACATTCCAAACTGCTGTCGGGTTGGTTCGATCGAATGAACCGGACCTTGTTTTCTTTGCAGAAACAAGATCGTGCCGGAGAGTCGTCTCTCGTAGAATGAGAGGCTTAGGTTTTGAGTCTAGTCAATGTTTTTTTGTTGATGCTGTTGATGGGTCTAGTGGTCTAGTTGTAGCTTGGTCCCCTGAGGTTGAGGCTTTAGTGTTTTTCATTCGAATTTTTGCATTTGTACTCGTATTAATGAGAATGGGTTTTCTTATATTGTTGTCTGCGTGTATATGAGTTGCAATATTGCGAGACGAGCGATACAACTGACTCAGCTGCGAGAGCTTTGTGAGGGACTTGATGTTCCCTTTGTGATTATTGGCGATTTTAATGCTACCCTTTGAGAAAATGAAAAAGATGGAGGGAATCCTTGGAATGCTACCAATCATTGGAGCTCCGGAATCTTATCCAAATGTTAGGTCTGCATGATCCTGGTTTTCAGGGGGATAGAAATTCGGCCTATTTCCATGCCGTCACAAGGGCTCGTCGAAAACGGAAGTATGTGGTTGGTCTTTACAATGAAGATGGGGAATGGATTACAGAGGAATGCGGTAAGACGGATATTGCCACTGAATTTTATTGTTCCTTATTCACATCAAAAAACCAGATTGTGAATATGCACGAGAGAGTAGCTGCTCTCCCTATTGACCCCTGTGTTTCTCCGGAGATGAATGCGAACCTGACTGCTGAAGTCCTCCCTAAAGAAATACGGGATACAGTTTTCTCTATGGGTTCCAAGCAGGCGCCAGGATCGGACGGTTTTACTGGAAAGTTCTTTAAGGCTTTTTGGGGTATAGTTGGGGATTCGGTAATTCGAGCGGTGAGCTCGTTTTTTGAAACTAGTAGGATGCCCCGGAGCTTTAACCATACTTGGTTGACTTTGATTCCGAAGGTGGATCAAGTTGAATCAATTCGTCAGTTGCGTCCTATTAGTCTATGCCAATTTGTGTACAAAGTGATTACTAAAATCATGGCAGAGAGGCTTGCTGGTATTTTGCCCCAAATTATTTCCGATGGCCAGAATGCTTTTATTCGGGAGAGGCAAATTGTGGAGAACATTCTCTTGGGGCATGAGTTAATGCATTACCTGAAAATCAAAACCCGTGGGAAGAAGGGATATATGGCTCTGAAGGTTGATATGGAAAAGGCCTATGATAGAGTCGAATGGCCCTTTCTCTTAGGGGTTTTGTAAAAAATGGGGTTTAACTCGGTCTGGAGAGGATGGATTCAGGAGTGCCTCCAATCTACGTCATTTTCGGTCTTAATGAATGGGACCCCAGCTGGGTTTTTTTCCCCTTACCTTGGGCTCAAGCAGGGTGATCCGGTCACACAACTATTCACTTAGTACAAAACGGTCACTAAACTTCATTTTTGCACGTTTCGGTCACACACCTTTGGACGAATACCAAAACGGCTATTCCGTCCAATTCCATCCAAAAAACTGTCAATTAAATCCAGTCAGCTTGACACGTCATCCAAAAAAAAAAATAGACCAATCAGACCCACTTAACCAGTACCCCTGACCCAACCCGGCCGTCCAACCCACCCACCCCAAGTCTGTAAAATATAAATACAAACCCAACCCGAGAAGATAACTCAATCTCTCTTTCATTTCTTCTTTTCTCCTCTTTGAAAACCTAATCCCAGATTGGGAGGAAACACCAACTCCCAATCCAAAATCTTCCTCACAAAGAAGGTCCTACTCTTCATGGGCTCCCTCCCAACTTGTAAGTGTCAAGAGAGAGTTGTCTTGCTAAAATCGTGGACAGAAGATAATCCGGGTAGAAGGTTCCTCCGTTGTAAGAGAAAGTACTTGGTAAGGATGCTGGATTAGTTGGATTTCTGTGTTAATTGTGGAAAGATTTGGTAATCGTTATCCATTCTTTCATTTTTACTCCAGAAACTCCCTCACTATTGCGATTTCTTTAAGTGGATCGATCCTCCAGTTGAAGCTAGGACAAAAGTAGTCATCAATGGGCTTTTGAGGAAGATTAACAACCTGGAGAGAAAGTCGAGGGAAGAGATTCAATGTGAGTGCAGCTCGTAGCCGAGTGCCGCTGCTTCTTTTATTTCTACTGCACAAAATGATGGACAAAGCAGAATAGGCAACCGAAGTGAAGATCTGTATGCACGGTTGATAAATTTAATTTCTGTAGTGATTTGTGTGGCTGTGGGAATTGTTGTTGGAAGATATGTTTAGGAAAGTTTTGATTTTCGCACTGTAATCCTTAATTTTAAGGTTTGTGTGGGGGTTCAGATATGTAACAAGATGGTAACAAATCTTTGTAGTCGAGAACAAATTGGTGACATAACAATTCTCTTAAAATTTTAACGGTCACAATTCTTTTGCCATTGTAACAAAATGGTCACACAACTATAAAACATGAAAATCGGCAGCCTGTTTAGTACCAACATGTTAGACCTGGAAATGAAACTTAGCATTATATAAACCTGGGTATACAAGCATTACACCATACTTAACATTCAGTTGTACGATTACAAATACCAAGTATTCCATTCTACTTAAAATGGATTGGCTAATGACGAAAGTTCTCTATCAACCAATCAACATGCCCAAAAATCGAGTCTGCCGAGCTCCACAAAAACAAGTTCCACAATACACTTCCCAAACATCAAAGTCTATCCTACTGTTGTTGCTTTACTGGCTAGATCTGCCCCTAACCCTCCCCCTACCCCTGCTAACTGTGACCTTGGTTCTGAACCAGGTGATGGGTGTACAAGCAGGAGTAGGCATAAAGGCTGTTGTCTCGGCTCCTGGAGATGATGCTTCTGGAGATGCTCCCCGCTGTTGAGGAGAGTGGGCTGCCTCCCTTGGTTCCTCGTTTCCTCCACCATTCTGAACAAAGGAAGGATAACATTGCATGTCATTAAACATTTATTTATCAGTTAGGACAATAGAATCATCGTTAGATTCAAACCTTTTTATGAAAGCGACTGTTGTGTCCTTTGACATTGCATACAGTGCATGTCATTTCAACTCCACTTTTTGACATTGCTTTGTATTGTTTTCCCCGCTTGTCTTGCTTTGTTTTCTCCAACTCCCAAGCTTCCTTGCGTCTCTTTGTTTGTCTAGGACCCCTCTTTTTCTCAACAAAAGTCGGTGAGTCAAGTTCGATGCAATCATCGTGAAGCCGTTGGGTTGAATCATTGAGAGGGCAGATATGATATGAGTAGGACCTCTTGCATGCCTCTACATGATAGCAATCATCCATATACAACTCTAGATTATCCTTATTCATATTCATGCAAGAAATGGCATGTTGACAAGGGATACCACTCAGCTGCCACCTACCACAAGCACACGTTCGATTGCGCATATCCAAAACTTACCTGCCCCTGTATGACTGGACCTGATACTCCATGTTTCCATTGAAAGTTGGGAAGCAAAAAGCAGCCCACTCCTTACACTTGTTCAATTTCAGTAATGGTTTAGGGCATATACGAACTCTTCTCTCCTCCAAACGCTCCATCTGTCTCTTCCTAACAGCAATTCTCTTCATGACTTTCCCAAATATATCTTCCAAACAAGACAGAATTGGCATATCTCTTGACTCCAGAATGTATTTGTTGAAGCTCTCATAATGGTTGTTAACTCCCATGTCAGATTTGCAAGCTCTTCTGTAGAATGCCTTGCACCATTGTGTTCTTTCTCTTTCCATCATCCACTGATGAGGTGTTTGATCCCCAATCTTGTAGCCTTCACCAACCTTCTCCAACTCCTCCATTGCTGCCTTGTATTGTGCCAAATAAGTGGCACTTGCAGCTCCATAGAAGAGTTCCTTCAGCCTCTTAGACCTACTAAACTTGCCACTGAAATTCACATACATGTGTCGTACACAATATCGGTGCTCGGCATTAGGGTTCATTGAGTTCATGACATTCATCAAACCCTACCACAAAAAAAAAAAAATTTCAAATTTAGATTAAACTCCCAAACGACACTAAAACATTAACAACTACATTATTCAAGTTAAAGTAAACTTATCTTTTGCCTGTCAGACATAAAAGTCCAATCTGATGATTGGTCAATTTCCAAGTATTCACCCAAATGTGCCATGAACCACTCCCATGTGTCATGACACTCCTTCTCTACTATTGCCCATGCAATGGGGTACATGCAATCATCCCCATCGATACCCACAGCTGAAAGAAGCTGCCATCCAGGCATAGCCTTCAGATTACACCCATCCACAGCAATAATTCTCCTACATCCAGCTTTGAATCCTTCTTTTATAGGACCCAAACATATGTAGATACTCTCAAAGGTTCTTCCGGTATGTTCAATCACCACTGATGTTCCAGGATTTCTTGCCTCCAACTCTTTCTTGTAGGCATATAGCTTTGCAAACTGGAGGCTGTCCTCCCCATGCACTGTTTTCAAAGCCAACTGTTTTGTTCTATATGCCTTCATTCGATTAATCTTCAAGCCTAAATCTGTCATAA